AACACACACATAAATGATTTTAATATTTAATTTCTAACTATAAAGTTTTCATGGCCAGCAGAATGTCAACACAAGACTTAATCAGATGATCACATATGGATATGATAGTATAATTCAGACAAAATTATTTATGCACCGCCGTAAATAAATTGTTCATTGTATTTTTTATATAACTAGTTGCCAAAAAAAAATTCCACATAACTATGTCAAGAACTAACTTACTCAAACGTTGACTTTTTTAAACACGTCTAATCCATTTTCATGTTTTCTCTTTTATCAATTGAGAAATATTCTTAAAAAAAATATTTAACAAGGTTATTGCACATATTCATTATTAGTCCAGCCTATTATACAATCAATTTTTACGACCATATATATTTAGAAACTTAATGCATTATATTAGAGCCCACCAAAAAAAAAAAAAAACAAGCAAGTGTTATTATTTCCAAAACCAAATATAGTAGAATCTCTATAAATTAATACTAGATAAATTAATAACTTATATTAATTAATAAATTTTACTGGTCCCAATTTGAATGGATTCAAAATTTGACACAAATCAATAAAATAATAAGATAATAATTTTAAAACTTTTGGATATAAATATACAGTTCATTAAAATAATAAATTATAAGTACCCATTACAACAAATATATAGGAACCACAATATTTTTAAAAACTACATTTTAAAATTCGTAGATCTCTTCAATCACAGGAACAACTATATTTGAAATCTATATTTATATAAAAAATATATTTTTAAAGGGTTGGTTTGATTTTTTCGGTTCTACAGATATCTGTTTGGTTTTGGGTTTAATATTTTTTTATACTTCGGTTCTTGGTTCATTTTTGGTTCTCGATTTATATTCCAATGCCTAACCATAAGGCTAAAATAGGGTTTGATAGTCAATTTTAAATATAAATATAAAGTAGATGGATTTATCAAGACTTTTATTAAATGAGAGTTTAGTTTAATAAAATGAAGATTCTATTTACCTGTTTCTATAAATATTTCAAACAAAATCTGACATTTTCAAGCAAAATCTCATTAAAAAATTAAACAGTTTATAAAATAAAATTTAAATATATTTTTTTAATTTTTATAATAAAGTGAAAAATTAATCATAATACTTAAATGATTTTAAATGGTTTATAATGTGTAAGGTAATTAGTGCCAATATAAATGGATCACTTTACTAAATTTTTAAATTAATGGCTATAAATGTATTATGGGTTTAAATGGAATGGGTATTGAATGAGATGAGTTCATGAGAATTTATCCATATTGATATTTAAATTTCTATATTACTAAAAGAGAAATAAAAATCTAGTTAACAAGGTCATTGCACTTATTTATTATTAGTCCAACCTGTTATATACAACAAATTCTTACTATCATGTATACTTAAAAACTTAATCCCCTATATATTAATTGAGAAGCATTACAACATGTTTTGGTAGCCACGTGTCATCATGAGAATGCTTCTCAAATTTACTAGAGAAATGTTGGTTCATATATAAACATGTAATATACTTTTTATTAAACTAAGCATAAAACTATTATTAATGCTAATCATTATTTCCTCAAATAAAATTTACGAAATTACCTAATATGGTTCTAATATATATATATATGACAATTAATGATTTGAATATGAAAAATTGATAAAAAAAAATTGTATAGCATCTACTCTTTTTGTTAAGTTTATATTGTGAAAATAAAAAACAATAACATTAACTATATAACAAAAAAATATATAATTTTTTAGATTTCTTATATTTTGAATTTTCAAAAATGACTATAAATTAATTAAAAATTTAAAACTTTCACATATAATATTTTTGATTAATAGTTTAATTTTTTTGCTATAGTAGGATACAAACAATTATATAATTAATGAGTAAGAAATATCATTTAATAGGTATTTAAATTAGATGTATATATATATATATATTAGTGATGTTTAAATTAAACTAAATATCATTTAAAAATACATAAATATTTAATTCTAAAACTGCATTGAACAGGTATTGAAAACTTAATACATTAATGACAAACTTTGAATCTAATTTTTTAAACGGTGATAAATTACTGTAACTATTAAATCTCTCAAATTAAAAATGATGTTATCAATATTTTAAAATATTTATTATAAAAAATATAAATGATCATAAAACCATGTAAGGAGTGGTTATTTTCTTGCGTTTCGCTCCGCCTGTTACGACAATTGAGCGCTCTCCTTTATCTTACCATCCCTAAAAAAAGAGTTGACAAAAAAAATGTAGAAGTGTGAAACTTCATTTATTAGATATTCAAATTAAAAGTATAATATATATATATATGTTAATATCATTTATTAATTAGATTTACTTATATAAAGTGATTGTAAATAAACAAATATAATTATTTTATTTAAGTGCTCGCTAAATTAATTGTTATATAATAGTTACAGATTTTTCAATTATTCAATATATGTATTTATTATTTTATAATATATAAAAGAACACAAAATAAAAAATAAGACATAAAATATTATATATATGTATATAATTCTCATCCTGCACAAATGCGCGGATATCGAATATATATTAATGCTCAAGCATTACAACATTTTTTTGGTGGCATGTCACAATGAATATAACTTTCAAAACTCTTAGAGAAATATGTTGGTCCAAATACACATATATTATATTTTTTATTAAACTAACTATTATATTTAATTAGTAGTGTACAAAGAATATTCTCTGTTATTTGTTTAAATGTAAGATACATAATCATCTAATATGATTAATATATATATATATATATATATATATATCACAATTAATTATGAATAATAAAGATTTGATAACAATTTTTTATCCTCTTTGCTTTTTATTTAATTTTATATTATTAAAAGAAATTAATGATAACGTTTTTTTACTTCACCCAATCGTTTTTAATGGGTCCTAAACAATTTTTAATGATTAACTAAATGAATCACGTACATAATAGAATGTGTTTTGGTTTTAAAATTGTTGCATATCCGAAATTAATATGAACCATCATCTCATTCGTTTCAAATTTTGTTACAATAAGAAATCTAGGGTTGGACAAAAAACCGGAATCCAAATAACCGAACCAAATCTAATCCAAAAAGTAGTATAGATTTCTAACCAAAATTGGTTAGATATCCAAATTGATTCAAAATTTTGGTATCTAGAATACCATAATTGAAATATTTCGGGTATCCGACCGTAGTCGAACTAGATTTATATACTTAAATATATTAATGATTTTTAAATTTAACATCTAAGAATATAGAAAATCCATGAGATGTTTTAAAATTTCCAAAATACTTAGAAATACATATAAAATAGTTAAATTTACATTTTAAAAATAGCTAAATGATATTCCAAATACCAAAAATACTTGAAATATTTATTGATCTTTTGTCTATATATTTAAGATAAACCATTTTTTGTTAAGTTTAAGTATTTTGTTCATTCACTTTTTAAATTTATATGTTATATATTATTTAAATTTTAGATTATGAGAAGTTTAAAGTATATATGAATTTTAATCTTTTTTAAAAAGTTAATTGAGTTATCTAAACCTAAACCCAAACCAAACCTGCGGAGATTCGAAATCCGCAAATATCTAAAACAAATAGAATCTAACCGAATCAAATGGTACCCTAATCCATCCCTAATCAAATGTAAAAAAAATTATTGATAACAAAATATTTATTTAAATACAATATTTTTTAAAAAAAAAAAACTCACTCCGCGCATGACGCGGATTATCATCTAGTGCATTACATTAGAGCCGACCAAATAAAAAACAGCGACTCTTATTATTTTCAAAACCAAGCATACCAGTATATCATAAATGTAAACTCTACAACGTCAAGTTAAAAAAAAAAAAAAACTCTACAACGTCATACACCAAAATAATTGCATTTAACATTCTCAATTATGTGATAGGTTAGGCATGCAATATCTTTTTCAAAACTAAAATATCAAAAACGTAGGCATGCAATATTATAACCTCTCAAGTCCACCTCCTATCGCAATTACGTGCATGCAAACATTATAAGTGCATCTTTAACAATTAATACATAATGAAAATAATTTAAAAACCAAGATTAATTAAAATTTAGTTATGCTATGTAATATAACTCGAGTTTAATGAAAAATATTTCATGTGTTTAGTGAAAAGTTTAGTAAAGATTTAACAGTTACGTAAAAGTTATAGAATACTTAAACATATTCAAAATAAATAAAGAAGTCTATAAGTTTAGAAAGACGAAAACCCTATTATTATATTGTTTTCCTTTATGTTTCATCAAACTTAAGAAAAAAAAAGATTCACACACTAAATTATCTTTCTATTTTAGGTAAATATAATCAAATTTAAAAATAATTATAAAAATAAAATTCAAACAGTAAACATTGAGTAATAAATAGCCAAACAATATTTTGTAAAAAAAATGAAAATAAAATAATAATACACAACAAATAAAGAAACAAAAGTCGAGACGAGCCACAATATACAACAATTCTATACAAATACATACTGATAATCTATGACATACAAAATTTAGATATTCAAAATTTTGAAATTCAAAAGAAGAAAAGAACAGTAAATAATTAAAAATAATTATATAATTGTCTAAATATTTATATTTTATAATAGATTATAATACTTTAATATCAAAATAACATACAACATATATAATTAAAATTTCAACGAAAACCCCGGGCATATCAAAATAACATACAACTAAATTATACCAAAGTTTGTTTTTTTTTGTCAACTAACAAAGTTTGTTTACAATTCAAAAAGTCTACGCTTTCGAAGCCAAACCGCTTCTGGTCACAAAATGAGTTTGTAAATCTTATTATGACCTCGTAGCTTCGAGACACATACACACAATAAAAGCCCATAACTTTGAGCGGCCCAAATCATTTTGCTCACTACAACAAAGCTCCAACACTCTCTAACTCGCAAAAGGTCTGAGCAATGGCGAATACCTTAATGGCGACAACTCGTCCACTCGTTCTCCTCTCCTCCACAAGAGCGACCTTTCATCTCCTTCTCCAATCTCCAAAGAGACCCTTCTCCTCATTCTTATCAACTCTCTCATCTCCCGTCACGAGAAGCTCCAGTTCGAGATGCGTGAGCGCCGTTTTGTCTCGTGGAGAGACTACCACGCCGTCGTTGATTTACGGAAACCGAGTTTTTAGGGTTTCTGGGTTTGGTCTTGTTGACACTCACAGCCGTGATTTCAGTGCTAAATCATCTCAAATCAACGATGCTGGGTCGATTGATCAAACTCTTATGCAATCCATGGAGCTAAAGGTTAAAACTTTTTTGTTTTTTCTTATAAACTAGTGCCCTAGGTTTATAGGTTGGATTAGTGTAATATCAAGATTAGGTTATATCATCACTAAGTTAAAATCCTTAAAGACGAATTATATCTCAGAAGGCATGTGTTTTTGTCGTCTTATTATCTTGGACTTGTGGTCAAAGTTCCAATTTTTTATCGGATTATCAACACATGTTTTGATGTGCAGATCAAAGAACAATTGAATGCAGAGTCGGTTTCTGTCAAGGATATGTCTGGAGATGGACGCCACGTTTGGTAATTACTCTTTATATCTTCCGGATCATTACATAATTGAAGTTGCAGTGTGTGTGTGTGTGGTCGGAGTAATGTTTATTGAAGTATGTCAGATGCAGACAAGACACACGTTTTTTCTTTCATTTTAAAGTTTATTTGCCTTGTTTCATCAAACAATAATTGGAAACCAAGCTATAGTAAGAACATTGAGGATTAGGTTGCTCTCTATTGTGTGGAGAAACAAAATCGAATAGAACTTTTTCAAATTCAGCCAGTAGCATCTCATCTTTAGTTTTGTAGAATCATCAAAGTTGGGGTTTAACTATTTAAGTTAGAACATATTCCATTTTTCTGTTCCTGATGTAAGTTTGAATTCTTGTATCATCAAACTCAGATGAATACCCAGCAAGAATCTTAACTTTACTTGTCATATTAGATGATTCTATTAACTAACATCAGGATTGCTTTATTTGTATTTGTAGCATCAATGTGGTATCATCGGCTTTTGAGGGACAATCTGCAGTGAACAGACAGAGGATGGTCTACAAAGCCATCTGGGAGGAGCTTCAGAACGTAGTTCATGCCGTTGATCAGATGACAACAAAGACTCCTTCCGAAGTTTGAAGCCTCAAGTTTTTAATGACACGAATCCCAATCTATTATTTGAACAGCGGACAAAGCTGTTTTGTTTTATCGAAAAACAAATTTGGATGTTTCTTTTTGTTGTTGATGTTGGTTTATCCTACTCTGTAACATCCTTTGCTCTGTTTAGTAAAATTCAGTGATAATAGGTATGTTTCAATTTTTTTTGTCGTCTGCCTCTCACATAAGTACATTTAAGAAGCTCCTTGAGCCTGCCACTAACTAGTCTACAAGTTTCACGATATGTTTCGGGTAATTTGGAATAAATATCTTGCCATTTTTGCATTAGTGACATTATTATTACACTTTTGATTTAATCCGATTGTACATATATAATATCAACTGTTAACCAAATTAATATATTCTTACTAAAAATAACATTTATACTTACAAAATTTCATAGTCTATTTTTCTTATTAATATTTGTAATTTATAATTCACCTGTATTTAATATATATTTAGTTTATTTTGGTAATTTATGTTAAACTATCACATTTGCAATCATATAATCAAGAATATTCCAATCCAACTACAAGTATACTACTTTGATTAACAATGTTTATATACCACAAAGCAAATATCACTTTTTGCATAGACTTATAAACGAAAAAAATACAATACAGAATAACTGTAACTTAACTAGGTCTTGGTGAAAGGAAAGAAAATGAAAGAATGAACATACTTGAACAGTGTAACAAACAATGTTCATGCTTCCGTTTTTCTCTCCGAACATATTTATATATTCGGAGAATGATCACTACGAGAAACACACAACACTGCTTCATCTCTACATTAACCCTGGCGGCCAAGTCGGTGATAATGTCCTGGCAGGTTTCCATAAGAAAGTTGAGTTCTCTTTGACAAATTTTGTCTTCTTGATGGACCTGAAGGAGGAACAATAAATACTTGACGACCCTGATCGCCGGTAGTGTGTGACTGGAATGTTTCTACGGAGTTTGTCGCCGGAAAAATGAGAAGGAATAGAAGCAGTAGTTGTGAAGGAGACATCATAGAGACTTCAGTAAAGAATACTTGTCTCTTGTTGCATTGGGACAGTAACTATATATCATGACGATATCTTTTGTGAAAAAAAAAAAAGGTTTCATAACGCTCATTAGTATGGGCAGAGTTTTGGTGTTCTCTTGGGGCTGCACCGCTATAGGTGTTTATAATGTAACATGAAAAGCAAGCCTCTAGCTAGTGACTTAAGTTAGCTTCACTTTTTAAAACTCTAATCGAACCATTATGACTTCTCTTGTTCATCAATTAAGATTATTAAACAATCATTTGTTTTGTTTGTTTGTTTTGTTTGTGTGACAACGCAACAAGTATATCCATGTTTCAAACATGACTAAGCATTTCCATATGTTGCCTCGTGTCCAAAGTTTAGCAAATTGCTGCACCACGTGGATTGACCCAGCTTCATACTCTGATCAAATATAGAAAGAAGAATCGAGAAGACGTTCATCTTCTTTAAAAACATGTTACCTAAAGTGAAATTAGGGTTAACTAGGTAAATAGTTTTTGAATATGGAGTTTTCTTTTGTTTTACTTTTAGTCTTTTACCACTCAAACCAGACCCAGTCTTGAGGCCATACTTAAGATACATTTGTATAGGACCTACAATTTTTATAGTTTTTAGGGTTATTTTTTTCTTGTTAAGAGAAGGAAATCACAACAGTTTTAAATATTTTACTAGATCTCAACCCGCGCAACCGCGCGGGTATTTGTTTTTATTTATTTTTACATAAACATTTTTTACTTCTAAATTGGTATATATTATATAAGGTATGTATATCGAAAATGATGATTAATAATTATTATATAGTATACATTAATTATTGTTAGAAAATGATGATTTTGTTATTTTTAAAAATAAACTATATAATTTTTAAAGTTAACATCAAAAATATATAAATAATTAACTTATACTATTACAATATTAAATTATATAAGTTTAATTTAAACATGTATTTTATTATAATATCTATAAATCCAATGGATCATTTAATTTTTATTAGCCCAATAAAAATTTCTAGTAAGCCCAATAAATGTTATTAGTGAATCTAATGAATGTTATTAATGATTAAATAATGTAATGTCATAAATGCTATTAGATGGTTCATTTTAAAATATCACACATGAAGTGAAGTCATGACTTCTCTTTTAATATATAAGATTTTTTTAAGTTCTCATGTAACTCATATATGCCAATTTAAACACACATTTCTTTAGAATAGTACCTAATTATTCATTCTTAAACGTATTTCAAACATATAAATAAGAAATCTTTAATATTGTTTCCTTATATCTATATAAAAGAAAGTTGTTTTGAAGATATTCTAGTGTTTAGTTACAAATTTAATTTGTTTTAAATAAATTTTATTATTATTTAGGGGCCTATATTTTTGTTTCGAATGGGACTCTAAATATCTCAGGACCGGCACTAACTCAAACTTAACCAGAAAACATACTCTGATTGGTTACTCAAATGAGACAAATAACAAATTGTTGTAATAACGGGTCGTTTTGTCGAATATATAGTATCGGGGTCAATGTAGAATTCATACAAACTTACTGGGCAGAAAGAAAACAAAAAACAAAAAAAACAGAGACTACAATAGTTGGGAGGAGAAGAAATACATTAACGAAGCGGTTAGGAGAAGATGAAACTGTTCGACGCGCACTGTCACCTACAAGACCCCAGAATCATAAGCAAAGCTCCTCAACTCATCTCCTCCGCTGTAGCTTCTGGTGTCTCTTCCTTCGCCGTCAATGGAGTCTCCGAGGTTTTGATTTTTTTTTTGTTATAGATTAAATAGCTTAAAAATTGAATCTTGGTTTTATTTGATTTTGGTATAGAAAGATTGGAACTTGGTCAAAGAGATGGGAGTGAAATACCCTTCTGTTGTTCCCTGTTTTGGTATCCATCCATGGTACTACTAACTCTGTTAATATAATAGTTACATTCAGTTACTGAGTAGAGTTTCAGACTTTAAGGTTGCTAATTTTGAGTGTTTTGAGTTTAGGTATGTAGCAGAGAGGAGTCCTCATTGGTTTGAGACGTTGAAGAGCTTGTTTGAGACCACTCCTAGTGCTGCTGTTGGAGAAGTATGTCTCTTGTCTCTTTTTGATTTGAAGATTGAATTTGTTGTTGGTTGAAAGCTGATTACTTTTTTTTTCTTTAACAGATTGGTTTAGACAAAGGGTCTAAGGGAAGAGAGATTGATTTCTCAGACCAGGTTTCATGATTGATTAAAAAAGAGAAACCTTTGTGCTTTTTATAGAGTTTGTGCTGGTTTTTAATTGATGGCTTATGATGCAAGTTCAGGTTGGAGTGTTTCGTCAACAGCTCGAACTTGCAAAGGAATTGAATAAACCTGCGTCAATTCACTGTGTCCGTGCATTTGGGGATCTACTTGAGATAACAAAGTATGCTCTTTTGCTACCTGTTGTGTGTACAAAAGCAAAAGTGAATATTTTTAGCGTTTTTGATATTCTTATGTAGTGTGATGTTGTGGAATACGCAGATCTGTGGGGCCTTTTCCTGCTGGAGTCATCCTTCACTCGTACTTGGGATCTGCTGAGATGGTTCCTGAATTTGCTAAGCTCGGTGCTTATTTCTCCTTCTCTGGTTTTCTCATGTCCATGAGTGAGAAGAAAGCCAAGAAGATGTTGAAAGCAGTAATATTTCTATACTTCTCTACGCACAGATTACAGTTTTGTAGATGGGATGGAATCTTGATTTCAGTTCTTGGTAGGTCCCTTCTGATAGGATCTTGTTGGAGACTGATTCACCGGATGCATTACCAAAGTCAGAGTCAGGTGACCTCTACTTTGTAGAAGGAGATCCTTCTCTATCCGAAGAAGTAAACTCACCTCAGGATCTTGAGTCTAATGCGTCCAGTGGTGGCTCCATGAAGTTGCCAAAGGAAACACTTAATCACCCTGCTAATATTCATATCGTATGTTTGTTGTTGTTGCTTCATGACTGCTTAAATCAATCTTCTTTCTCATATATCCATGGAAAATTTAAGACCCTGATGAATTAAGGTTGCAGGTACTTGGGTATGTAGCAAGGTTGTTGGACATGAAGAACGAAGAACTCGCAGAACTAAGCTATAGAAATGCTGTTCGGTTATTCTCTTACCCTGGTTCGAAGCTGCTTCTCGAGAAAGGTAAATCACTTCTTTTAGTTCGTCTCTTCACATCTTTGTTTGGTCATGGAACAAGTTTTTGATAAGGTTTTGTGTCTTTAGGTGCCGCTGATGTCTCTGGTGGCACTCAAGACAATTCAACAACACATGTACCATCAAGTTCTTAACACATTTTAGTTGTATTTTTGTCATTACTCTGTTACAAGTCTTTGAAGTTGGAATAGTGTTGTAGACTCTCATACGTCTCTTTGTATAAAACCTTTTATAATTATGTGAACATTGAAATTTGACATGTTCATATATGTGATGATGATAATGAAGATTATAGACTTACATAACATGTATTTTTGTTATTGCACCTGTGTTGATTCATTTGATGATAAGGTGTGAGTCATTATTTTTGCGTTTTAAATTTTAAATTGGTAACAAACATCTTAACTTGATTCCTATATCTCCGGAACAGAAGCCATAGAGCTCTCTTGATTTTATTTTTGAATTATGTGTTTTGACCTATGCTTCTTCCGTTGTTGCAGAAAGACATGGTGAAACCAAGTACTCTGTGTTCTTAAAGCTTAGAATACAGACAAACTCATAAACACACATTCCTTCAGGAAAAAAAGATGTCAGATTTAGAAAGGACAAACAGCAACAAGAACCTGTAAGTTTCTTCATCTTTCTGTTTGACATTAGAATCATATTTAAACACATAAAAGTCTTTACCTATATTCATTTTCTTTGAAGAAACTCAAAGTCAGAGCTTCTTCTCAACGTAAAGGATGTTCCATTTCATCTCTGCAAAGTATGTTTCTTCCCATTCTCCATTAAGATTAATCAAAAAGAAAAAGACTTTCGTTCCCTAATTTTTTAGAGTTTTTTTTATCCGTGAAGGAAACTTTAGCTAAGAGATCAGCGATAGTGAGCTCATTACTGGAGAGAAATAAGATGGATGAGCTTCCTTGTATCCTCCAAGATATAGAAGCTGATCCAGAAACCTTCGAGCTCATTGCTAGATTTTGCTACGGCTACAAAGTCAAGTTTACGTCTAATAACATCGTATCCGTTCTCTGCATAGCCTATTACTTAGGGATGAATGATGAGCACAGCACTGATAACTTGGTAGGGAAGGCATCTAGTTTCTTAGAAACAAGAGTTCTCCCCTGCTGGAACGAGACAGTGAATGCTCTTCGTTCAGGAGACAAGAGTCTCGACAAGCTAGCAGATTTTGAACTCGTGGATCTCTTCTTCGATTCCCTTATCGAAAAAGCTTCCTACGATCCAAGAATCCTCGGTGAACCACCGATCAAGAACAGAGAAGAAGCAAATGAGTATAGACCTAACCCTAGGAGAAGATTGTTTGATAATGACTGGAAGTCTGAAGATTTGATCACACTCCCGCTTCGGTTTTACGAGCCTTTGATGATCAGAGCGATGGAATCACGCAGGATTCCTGTTGAATACATGGTTTCATCTGTATGCAGCTACGCTAAGAAATGGGTTTTTGATGCGGAAGAAAGCGTGTCAGGCAAGAAAAGAGAAGTTGTTGAAGCTGTTGAGAGGCTTTTACCTCACCAGAGAGGGCTCATCTCTTGTGACTTCTTGTTCAAAACGCTAAAACATTCGATATGGTTAGAAGCTAGCTCTGAGTGTAGAAATGGACTCGGGATGAGAGTCAGCAAACAGCTTGACCTGGCTAAACCAACAGATCTCAGGATTCTGTCTCAAGGAGAGAGTTTAGAAGATATCCAGCTGGTTAGAACTGTGATCACTAGCTTCTACTCTAACTACGAAGAAGAAACTGAAGATGTTTCACCCTTCGTCAAAGTGGCAAAGCTCTTGGAAGGGTTTCTGTTCTTGGCTGCGAGTGAGTCTTCTGCTCTGAAGCTGGATGCGTTTGTGGCGTTAGCGGAGATCACGGTGGCGATTTCTCAAGGTGTTTTGAGATACTCTGATGGGATTTACAGAGCTATTGATGCTTTCTTGGATAGGCACAGGTACTTGACTGAGTCTGAGAAGATGGAAGCTTGTAAGGTTCTTGACTGTGATAAACTTTCTAGACAAGGATGTGAGGAAGCTGCCAAGAACCAGAGGCTTCCTGTTAGGATCGTTGTTAAGGTTTTGTTTGTTTCTCAGCTTCAGATAAGGGATACAGTGGCTAAAGAGATTAGGGGAGTAGAAGAGAAAGTAGATGAGGAAGATGAAGAAGAAGAAGAAGAGGAAGAGATTAGGGTTTGGAGTGATGAGGATGAGATGGAGAAGATGAGTGAAAAGCTGTTAGGGTTAGAGATTGAGAATCATGAATGTGTTGTTCATAGATGGAAGAAGACTAAGAAGATAAGTGTGTGGAGACAAGTGAAGAGGAAGTTTGGTTGCTTGACTACTACTTCATCTTCAGATGATGCTTGCACCTGTGATGTCAAGAATAAGAAGAAGAAGAAGAAGAAGAAGATTCATCACTACAAATAAATAAATAACTTTAAAAAAAAAGACACTTTGTTCTGTTATGTTCTTGTTGTTTCTCTCTTTCCTGATCTTCTGTTTCTGACATTTTGAAAAGAATGCTTTGTTTTTTGTTAATTGATTATTTTCTCAATTCATCCAAAACCATAAAGAACGATAGAAACAAAACTACAACAAAACAAAATCTTCTATGGAACTTTGACATGGTACTTTAGTTCATACTCAATAAACGTTGTTCCTTGACTCACACGTCATTAGGGTTAAGCTTTTTCAAAGCCTTTTCCTCTGTTTAAATCTCAGTTTACAGCCAAAAAAGATAACGACTTCCTGATCATTTGTTCCCCACGGATAATCTCAACGGAGTTTTATCATCATCATCGCTTCTTGAATTCAACATACCATGTTCTTGATTATCTTCATCCCCCATTCTCATATGATCCGGAATCAGTTTATTAGTACTTCTCTCATTTCGATCCTCCTCCTCTGGTTTTCCTCTTCCTTCATCTCCAAGAACCACCACATTACCAAACTGCACGTGCTTCTCACCGTCCCCAGGCGAACTCCTCGGCTCCACCTCCACCGCAGCCACGGGATGTGAATCTGACATGGCGATTTCCGTGATGCTTTTGTTGTTCTTCTCCTCCTCGTCTTTGCCTTTCTCAGGATCATCGAAAGTTGAAACGCTTTTGCTTAGGCAGAAGATGATGCAAGGCTTGAGGAGGCAAGAGTAGAGGTAAGCCAAGAACCAGAAGACCCAAGGGATACCAACGAAGAACATACCCGCTTCTAGAAACAGAGGATTTGGATCATGTTGGATGAGGTAAAGTCCAAGAAGGACTCCTCCTGTGAGGATACATGAAAGAAAGAGAAGAGTGACGATGTATATTCTTGGATCACCTGTTCTTTGATCCATTCGAATTTCCGACCACTAGATCCGAAACACGGATGAACAAGACCTAGAGATCGTGTTTTCTTTCCTCTTCTTTTTTCTGTTTTGTGTGTGTTCTTGAATTAGACTATGTTTTTATTTTCTCTTTCCTTATTTTCTTTCTCGGGACAAATGGATGTAACAGAAAACAGGAAAGACCGCTAAATGTGGACTTAGTTGTATATATTTATTTATTTTCCTTTTCTCGCTAAATTACAGTGATTTTTTTTTATTATAGTGTTATTATGAAGCTGTTAGAGACTTTAGGCTTATATTAAAGGTGAGATACAAACAGAAATATAGTTTTTCCAGTTTTTTAATATAAGGGATTGTTGTAATATATCATATTGCACGTAAGAAAATATTGTATTACCATATATACTAAGACTACATGGTATAATACATATGGTTATTAAAGTTCAAAAAAAAAAAAAAAAAAAAAAAGAAGTTCAAAAAAAATAAAATAATACATATGGCTATCGTGCTATCAACCAAGATGCGACGAAAGTTCACGATGTCTAATACATGATCTCCACTTTTTCTATAAAATATACAGTATATAGTAAATGAAATTAATGAGTGTTTCAAAAAAAAAAAAAAAATTATAACCCTGACATTTTTACATATGTTGACTCTAACCAGTTAGCCACAGTGGTTCCTCTCCCTTAAAAATGAGTTCAAAAACATGTGTTTTAATTTTAGAACTATGATCAGTTAAAGTCTAATGGATATACGATGCTTAGGATGTAAATATTATTAATAGACCAGGAATGCAGCCACACTATTGATATATAAAGGTCTATCTTGAGAATGATATGTTTCTCTCACATTGATTTATGATCATGATCAGTCTAGGTACATCTTCATCTTAAAATAATAGTTTAAATTGATTCTTGCAGTTATCTCTCATCTGTAATACCTATTTGTAAAGTTGTTTTTTTGTCGGCCAAATTCTGTTAATAAATCCAAAGAGCTAAGACAATTGGTATCAGATATAATAAAAATGAAGTCCAAGAACAACAAAAATAAAATAAAAGCATAAATAGAGAAAAACGGTGTTGTTGATTTGTGTTCATCCACATGCAAGCTTTATAACGTTTCACAAGATGCCCATCCTAAACTATTTTTTATCTAAACGAACTAAAATGTGACAAAACAAAAGATAAAATTGATCATAAAATCAAAGATTCAACGAAAAAACAAAGAGATTAAAATCATCTTTTTCTAGAAACTTTTTGAAGTGTTACAGAGGAGAAAAAAAAATTCTTTCTTTCTCTAAAAGTAGAGAAATTTTTTTTTTTTATTTGTGAAATTGTAGGATCATTATTACTCCACTAGAATTACTAGCTACAATGACAATGAATTTGTTTTTTTAATATTATTTATGATGTTTTTAAATATATAACCATTTTATTGCATTCTTTGTGCAGTAAACTCTGACCAAAAAGATTCTCTTAGTGGTTTATGTCTGAATATGTATATGTGAACAGTGAATTACTTTGATAAGTTACGAATAATTACTGCTTAAATTGGTGAAAAACAAAAAAATCTCAAAAACATTTTGAACTCATCTATTTAGTATCAAAGTGACATATGTTTTAAAAATAAGAAGAGCTTCAATTTATTCTCTAAGGATGATGATGGTCATCTCAGTTGTAATCTTTTTAATCTTATCCATCATAAGTATCAAGTTCCAAATATAAGTATCAATCATTCGTATTTATTTAATTTTCTTGAATAAGATGACTGAACGTCTGATGCAATCAATCGGTTCTGAAATAACACACTCATCTGGAATAGTTAATTACGGATTTACCCACATGACATGTTAGTACTACTTTCATTGGCTCCATCTCGTGGTTTTGTTTTACTTCTAAACAAAAATCTGTAACAACTAAATATATTTTTTAGACATGTCATTCGGGTTTATAGTTAATTACGAATTTACCTCTGTCACATGTTAGTACTACTTTTATTGGCCCCATCACGCTTTTGTTTTACTTCTAATTAAACCAAAATGCGTAACAACCAAAGATCTTTTCTAGACATGTATCTGTATTATTTTTTGTAGAAAACTATTAAAGTTGGATTACAATCTAGATATTCTTAAATGGTTTGGTATTGTTCTGGTTTGGTTCTTTTACTTAAATACAAATTAAAAAAAAATCAAAAATAACCAAACTAACCCAAAAAATCAAAAAGAACCGAAATAACCGAATTTATCCAAAATATCTGATTTTTAAAAAAAATTATACCTAATTGTATCCGAAAAACAAAAACTTATTTTTGGAAATAAAAATTTAACCAATAATCAAATCAAAATGTAATTCGGTTCATTTCAGAATTATTATTTAAAATTGCGGTTAACCGAAAACCAAAAATTTATTTCCGTTTGGTTTCGGAAAACCAAAATCACAAGGCTGCTTTATACTATCTAAAAATAATTGATGATTTTGTTGGAAACACGGATTGTGATGATCTCTGGTGATCAATACTAATTTACCGATGACAAAAAAAAGTTGGGTACAAAGTCCATTCAGATCCAACATAACAAAAATCATACAAACTTTAAGCCATATATATATCTACGTTTCAGTCGCATTTTTTTCAACATATCTAGTAGAATAGGATAGATAGATGGGGTTATTGGATAGGATAGATATTTTCCTTCATGATGGTATGGAGGGAACATCCAAGAAGGTGCATCCCTCAATCACCAAGGTTTCAATGCTTGTCATTTTGACCACCTAGATAGAATGTATAGCTAATCAGAACTTAGTTGGCAATGGAAACCGATCTTCCAAAACCAATGCATTTGCCTCCAATAAGAGAAAATGACTTGTTATATCTTACCAGCTCCTCCCTAGATAGTTTATATTTTGCGGTTAACTATGAAAGTTCACATAGTTTTTACTTACTCTGGTATGCTATATTCCTTAGTATGTTTTAGATAATGAGAAGCGAATTTGTGACATTCTCTTTTAGTTTGCGGATCAATGTTTCATATGGTGAAGTTCTGTCATTTTCTTTTCTTTATTGTTGCTTCATAGAATTAGTTCGAGTTAGCTTGTGCTTTTAGCTCTTCATGCGTGGACATCGTGCAGCGAAAACAGTTAACGCATCATCAAGCTTGTACCATCTATCTACACCAGGATGATACATACATTTGCTAACATATGCAGACCAATCACATCCCAAATTGATGACAAAACATTTGAGAGAAAATTCATTGGTTTCCTATAATGTTCTTTTTTTTTTGCCACGAACACACTATTAATTTCTGTTTAAACCAAATTAGCAACAACTAGTTGTCCTGTCTTCTACACATGTGGGAGTGTGATGTATCCATGTTAGTATTTCCCTAAATTCAGTGATTCCTACGTCTCTTCCTAATTTTTAGGGGTTTTGTGCTTTGTTCTGTCGATTGATTTACGTAGGTTTGACATATCCTACATATGATTGTTCTATAAAAATATTAAACGCATGTTAGACTAATTGTAAGGTGAGTAGGATCTGGATAGGATTGTTGTTGTGCAAGTCCACTATCTTGATACATTGATAATTTAATTGGTTACATGTTGATATTGTCCAAGTTTAATGGTATAAGCCATCTCAAGAAATCAAAGTATTGCCTAGAAAGTTAGAAAACGTCAAACGAAAAATTCCTAGCAATTAGCTCTTCTTGATAATTTCATATTCAACACTTAAAATCATTTCTTTTTATTCCTAAAACTCTTCTCTAAATTTTTAGTGTATAAAAGTATTTCCTCCTTCTAATTGATTACGTGCAATCGTAATATCTGTTGATTATAAGCATCACATAACAATTAGATTTGAGAAAGATAAATTAATTAACACCGTACTAGTCAGCCGTTTTAAGATAATCAAATATTATATCCTCTTTAAGCAATAAAAAAAAGTCATACTTTATTACATAATAAAACACAAAGAAGTCAAAACGTGTAAATTACATACTTCATTACCTCTTTAAAAACTTAACCAGAAAGTTTCCTCTGATTAGTTAACAATAATCGTAAAGATCGTAATTAATTGTAGTAGTATATAAAGTACTCTCTGCCAGAAAACAAAAAACAACATGGAGGAGTCGAGCGACAGGCTTGTACGGTTAGGGCAAGACGCGACGCCAGAAATTCTGCCAACCGGATACAGAGAGATCACGACGGTAGATGACTTAGCAATTCAATCCACCACACAAGACCTAGCCGCAGCAGGTGGACTATACAATCATGTTAACCACTCGTGGTTGTATAGACAGATCAGAACGTTAGACCAAATCAGAGAGAGGTCGACGACGACCGAACCATACTTCTTTTTTTTTGTGAAAAGGAAACCATACTTCTTTATTCCTCGTGATGAAAAAGAACTAAAAGAAGAAAGTCAACAACGGCCACGGCCAGCTCTTCCTAAGGCTAGACCGAGACGAGATCCTCCTCCTCGAGTATCTCGACGGTCCTCACAGGTATCTCAACCTATTTATCTCCGCCACAGGTTTCAGCCACGGTCACGTAATGATGACTCTTCTTCACGGCGCCAACGCTGATCTACTAATTTTATTTTATATAAGCTGCATGCCCCTTTGACTTTGGTTATATTCAACGATTTATGTGTGTATGTATTCAACGATTAAGTTGCATAATAATTGGATGTTTCCCAAGATTACATAAATGTTCATTTGAATTTCTGATCGTATTATGTCATTTCTATTAGACTGTAACATATGGGATACATGTCTATCTGAATTTCTGGTAATACCAACAATAAACAGTAGAATATTTAAGCCACAAGCAACTTCTGGATATCTTTCTGCATCAAATCATTTGAATAAAGGATGTTAGTATTATAAATATTAATCATCATATATTATATGCATATATATAGGAACGTTATGAGATATGATAGATTCTCTATATATGTACGCTTTTCTTGGAACTGTTATAATTCTTTTAGATGATGTAAAATCTATAATAATAAAGTTGCCTTTTCTCTCTACTTGGGGGCAAATAAATACACGTGTCCCTCCTATTTTTTGGGCCACTAATTTTTGTTTTCGTTCATGGGCTTTGATTTCTTATCCTAAACATTTGCTGGCCCATCGAATTGGTTAGGGTTCCTAAGTCGTCTTCTCTATTCTTTTTACCCCTCCGTCGATTTANTAAAATCTATAATAATAAAGTTGCCTTTTCTCTCTACTTGGGGGCAAATAAATACACGTGTCCCTCCTATTTTTTGGGCCACTAATTTTTGTTTTCGTTCATGGGCTTTGATTTCTTATCCTAAACATTTGCTGGCCCATCGAATTGGTTAGGGTTCCTAAGTCGTCTTCTCTATTCTTTTTACCCCTCCGTCGATTTACTTCCTATCATATTCAGAGACGAGATAGAATTCTCGGGAACGTTACAACCTTTGGCTTCCCCTCCTTTACTCGCAGTGGAGACGTAATAAGCCGACGCTCGAGCATCCAAACCATCTCAATTACATCCCCAAAGTAACCGACTTTGACTTTACCGTATAAATACTCCTTTATCCACGCATGATTCTCACACTTTCGACGAGTTGGAGAAGAATAGTCTTATCACCTTTCCTCTTACTGCTTGGTGAGTTCATACACCCTTCCTTATTTGAAAGCTGGGAGATGCTCCACCACTGTGGAGGTTCGGTTGCTGAGATTCTGGGAGACCAGGAATGTGAGGAAATGCGGTGGATTGATAAGTTCTTACATGCTCTGCGTTGATGCGGATGTAAGTATTTTATGGTAATTCTTTTCCTCTATTAGAACTGATAATAGGTTATGTAGTTTAGATGTATTTCAGACGATTTTAGGTTATGTAGTATAGATGTGTTTTGTTTTAATCCAGTCCTTTTTTCCAGATGAATTTTGGGTGGTAGTGGAGAATGATTTTTTTTTTTGCCGCCTTTGATTTTGTAAATTCATACCAAGCTTATATTGCGTTTGGGTGGTAGTGGAGAATGAAAGTTAATTTTTTTGTCGGTGGAGAATGAAAGTTTATTTTTTTATCGTTGCTTTGACTTTTAAGTTCATATCGATTTGTCTAAATATTTTATTTCGTCTGGATTGTTATAGTTAATAGTGAAAGTTTATTTTTTTATCGTTGCTTTGACTTTTAAGTTCATATCGATTTGTCTAAATATTTTATTTCGTCTGGATTGTTATAGTTAATAGTGTATTGTTTTAAGTTGTTCTTATTAACATCACGCCACATGAATCATAGTTTCATTTCGCTTTTGTAAACTTTAAAGTTTTTTAATTATCATTCACTAACCGTTTTCTATCGTCGTGTTCAACAGTCCACTCTTATGCAAGGATCAGTTGGGGCCAGCCGTCAACTGATGTTCAGAGAAAAAAAGTTGTTACTAATATTTTCTACTGAGAGATATTCAAGAATCTGAGGACAAGTAAGTCACTTCCAACCCAATCCTAATCTGCATACTTCTAAGAAAAAATAATGTGTTATATCCTAACCATAACGTCATTCGTTTCATGAAACAGCGTAGGAGCCTAAACCAGTTCGTAGCTGCGACAAAGAAAGCTAATCACGGTAATAAAGAGATAAGAATCCAATATTTATATACCAGTTTGATTGTTAATTTTCCAGACAATTGGTTGACCTCAAGAACCTATTTACAGACTCCTCCGTTCCAATAAGATATGGAAGTCAAAGTATCTAATCAAAAAATTTCTCTTTCACACAAATTCAATCCTATCCCGTAATATTTCCGATCGAGTTTTATGCTCTGTTCTGGTCCTCTGTTTATTTTTCCCCAAATGAGCTGTTTTTGTTTTCCTTTAAACACATTTTACGTCGTTGGAAATTATATTTCAAGTTATAGAAGAATATGTTTGCGTTACTCTCCTGAAATGCATGACATTTTTCTTTAAAACTAAAACTACACGACGTTTTAAGGTTCCACCAACACATTAACAAACGACATTACTCAAATATACCCCCCGATTTGAACATCTCCGGGTTTGATTTTCCAAATCGTTAAACAGCAAAATTAAATAATCCGAACCATTCCTACTCATAATTAATATACGGAAAATCGGTGGTTTTATTTTTGTTACAGAAATAAGAATGGGCTAGACTAAACTAATGTAAACAATCGGCCCTATAAGCTTAGATTTTAATAATCAACACACAAACCTAAAGAAGGGAAGAAAATAAAAATTAGAATCCCTAATGACTAGGTTGAGATGAAATTACAACAATTACGGTAGGGAAATAAAATATACCTCTACTATTACATAACGTTTGCCATCATCGATTACGCCCTATAATTTAGCAATTAGTCAAATCGACAATTAATACCCAACCAATAAGACTATAACTCTACTATTCATTCAAATACATAGAATTTCGTTTCAAAAAAAAAATATAACACTAAAAACACCCTTAAGTCCAAACAGAGTAACACCTCCTCTTTACAAAAAAAAAAAAAACATCTCCTTACAATGGTTCTCACTGCTGCTTTTGGACCAGAATCAGCAGCCGCATTCAAGGCAATTGATCTGAGCTACCCTATTTCCCAACCCCATTGATGCTGAAACCGAATTCCCTGACCTAATGAAATACGATCTGAAGAGTAAAAGGTATATCAAGGGAGTCAAGGAGTATTTTCACTACGGCAACACTGCCAATGGCTTGGCTCACCTACGCTCAGCAAAAGGTAAATGTAACTACGGCTTATATATGTATGGCTTACTTCTACTCGCAAGAGGCAAAATCGATGATGGCCAACGTTATTTATCCAAAACTTGGTTGGCAGAATAACAAAGAAATAGCTGATCTCCGCTGGAATGGAATAATGGAGCAACTGAGCAATTTCAAGGTTGAAAGAATGAAGCATAATACACGCAACATCAGTGACTTTAATGTTACATGTAAAAACATTACAAGTTTTAGAGTTTCAATTTGCTATTGATAGAAAATAAAAAAATTGTGCGGAGATTTCAGTTTCATTCCTATGTTATGTTTAGATTTCAATTTTTAATTAAATCTTACATCAGTGACTTTAATGTTACATGTAAAAACATTACAAGTTATAGAGTTTCAATTTCCTAAACACTATAACACAATACATATTCTATATTACTAAATACGTACCACTCGAAATAGGTCTGTCCACTATTGCAAAACACACCACCAACTAGGAATGGATGTATATTTAAGTTTCTTAAGCGCGAGAAGCATAACCTCATTTGAAAAAATAAATAAAAAACAAACAAGTTCTTCTAAGAACCAGATTTTGGCTAGAAAAAAAATCAACCATAAAAAAAATCAACACACCTATGGGAAATTTTATGAAAAAATCAAAAATTACAACACCAAAAATAGTAAAAGTTAAGGTACAAACCGAAAGGAATCCGAAGAGCTATAAAACAGCAATGAAACTACATCCCTGGCATACACGGGAAAAAAAATTACAAAAGAAAAACTAAGTTGAGTTGTCAGATATTAATAAAATATTAACAATGAAATCAAACATACAAATGTAACTCTTATGCCACAATTTTCATCCAATTAAACTGAGGAAGAGATAGTTATTAAAAATAAATTACACCTAGCATAAATATCAGACAATCCGCGCGTAGCGCGGACACGGCCCTAGTTATNAAAAAAATTACAAAAGAAAAACTAAGTTGAGTTGTCAGATATTAATAAAATATTAACAATGAAATCAAACATACAAATGTAACTCTTATGCCACAATTTTCATCCAATTAAACTGAGGAAGAGATAGTTATTAAAAATAAATTACACCTAGCATAAATATCAGACAATCCGCGCGTAGCGCGGACACGGCCCTAGTTATATCATAAATGAAAGACTAGTACCTCAATTTGTAAAGGGGAAGTCGTGGAAGGGTATCTTTGGACGACGTTGCCATTTTTGTCAACCAAGAATTTCTCAAAGTTCCATTTGATGAGATCACCCAAGAATCCACCCGACTTTGATTTCAAGAACTGGTAGATTGGGGCTGTGCTCGGTCCATTCACATCAACCTGTAGACAACATAACTCATCAAAGATTCAAAAGGGCCTCTCGTCCTGATCATTTTCAAAATGTATACAGCCAATAATATAAATAACTGAATGAGAGGTTCTTTTGTGTATGTGTGTGTGTGTTCTCCATATACCTTATCAAATATAGGGAACTCAGCTTTGAATCTGGTACACACGAATCGCTTGATATCCGGGTTTGATTCGGGTTCTTGACCTCCAAATTGATTGCACGGGAAAGCTAAAATCTCAAATCCTAAAAAAAAAAAAAGAGAGGAATAACAAAGAATGAGAGAAAGGTCACACAATATGTTACATATTCAGTCTGGTGTATATAGCAAAAGATACCTTGGTTCCTGTATTTGTCGTACAATTGTGAAAGCTCTGTGTAGTTTGATGATGTCAAACCACTGAAATTAAAATATTAAATTCTGCAATTCAGAATACATTTACAGGAAAATTATAATTATCAAAAAAGTTGTCTGAGCACCATTTTGAAGCAACGTTAACGATCAGCAGAGGTTTTCCTTTGAATTTGTCTAGAGAAACATCCTTCCCACTTATGTCCTGCTCAAAAAGAAAAAAAACAATAACAGAATAGTTATGTTTTAGTTTAAGGATTTACCAAGGATGTTTCAAGCTCTTGCTTGCTTATATATACTTCAGAAAATTATTGAAAATAATATTTTGATAGATTTAGGGTTTTACTATTTCATTTCTTGATCAGAAAGAGAAATAGACACGTACCTTTACAGTGAAATCATGAACAGTCTTCTCTTCGGTAGCTCTTGCATACACTCTCAAATTTCTTGAATGGAATTGAAACACATGCTTATTCCAAGATTTCAAGGAAACCCCGTTTTTCAGATTCCGAGAGTTTGATGTTCGCTTAGGGACGAGAAAAGCAGAACAAGTTGGAGGGGGGTTAGGTTTGGTTGCAGCGAAACCGCTGAAGACTGCAGAGAATGGTGCGTAAGAGGAAGAAGCCATTACAAAAAAAAAAAAAAGAAACAAACAGAATCTGTGTGTATGAATGTAGAACACGAGTTTTTAGTTAATACTAAACTATTACGCGTTATTAAATAGGCTTTGCAGCATCATTCATATGATGCTTCAATTTAATATTCGTGACTACCAACTTTTACACACACAATTGCCATTAAATTCATCAAGCAAAATACTGCGGTCTAGTTTAAACACATGGTCGATACTATAATGTTCACAGTTTCCAGAAGATATATCATATATATGAACATATAAAATGAAAAAACTGAGCGGTGCAAAAAGCTATGTTTGGTGAAGACTAGTCACAAGCTTACAATGCAAATGCAACGCATGTGGTTTGTTGATCGCTCCAAATTTTAGGCGGAATTTAATGTTAGTACTATGTGTGGTCACTTTAAAACATAACCATGTTGTGAAGCTCAATCAATTATAGACATATAAATTGACATGGCTAAATGTGTTCTCTTTATTTGAAGCTGTGACTGTATTGCATCTTTGGTGATAATAAAGTGGAGTACAAGAATTTTTTGGTCAGTTACTCTACTACTTTCATCCAATAAAAAATAATTTCAGCCCAATTACTCCAAAATATAATAAAAGTAGTGTAATATATTACTCTGCCGTAGAAAAAAATATTACTCTGTTTTATGTTAAAAGTAACATTTTACTAAATCAGAATAAAAATAAAGTGAAAAGAGTAGAAACCAAAGGGGTAGAACACAGGCGAAAAAAAATAGTAATAAATAATTAGATTTTGATAAAATACAAATTATATTTGTAATATTTTATTAAACACAAATTTGAAAAATAAACTGCATCCAATTTTTATATTCAAGAAATCATTTTATGAAAAATTAGAAACAAATATTTTTTTGACAAAATATTTTGAGGTGTATTGTCACATTCTAAAGGTTTGAAAAAGTTTTTTAGTATTTTAAGTTGCAGACTCTTATGAAAATGAAATTTAAAAATAAAAAGTACATTTTAATATTTAAAAAGCTGTTTTATCAGATGATTTTAGCATTAAATAATATTTGACAATATCTTTGGTAATATATTTAAACTTGACATATTTAAAATGGTTGTTATAAATTGTGTAGCACTCTGCTTGACTTGTTTTACATGTGAAGAAATAAAACCGCAATGTTGCATAAATTTGTGAAGAAGCTACGAGAAACTTTACTTTTAGATTGATCGGATTTGGTTAAACAAACTTAGCAAAATTCAAACTATTGAGAATCACACAACACAGCTCCAAAGAAAATGAACTCTAATAATATTAAACAGGAACACAGAGGATAATTTCCAAGTAAAATCATTCGTGGCTAGCTACAGACGCTCCCCTTGCTCACGAGCTATGGAAGCAGAGAGGATACCAAGGTCTCGATTGAGAACAGTTAACGCGGCTTCACACTCGGATACAATTCTATTTACTGAAGATGGCTCTCCTCCATCTACTGTTCCTGCTGATCCAATCGAAAGTGCTGCATGTGAGTCTCTTAGGTTCTTCAAGTTCCCTAGGAACTGTCACCAAACAACACACAAACATTGTTTTGCCAGAAGATAAAGTTTGAACTCAATTTTGGATGATATGATCCAAAATATCAAAGATAGAAGGAGACATTTACCTTGAGAAGCATATTATATGCCTCCAGTAAACGGTTTGCAGCAGGACCAAACCCATGAAGCTGAGGCACTTCCATCATGTGAGTCCATGGCCGTATTTCCTACAAGATCCATATGCATACAGATAATAAGTATATTTTCATATCTATTGTAAGCTGATCTAGGCTGATATGAAAACACAGTACCTTGGTGTAGATTGTGTTGAAAGCTCTAGCAGTTTCAAGAAACGATTTTAAACGAGCCCTTAGTTCAGATTCCACTTCTGCATATTCTTCGTCAGGGTTGTAGGCATGCTTTAAAAGAAGAAACCAATGAGCAATACACATGTTTAAACTCAATCACTCTGGATCTTATCTAAATATATATATTCAACTAAAAAAATTGTATATAGGTAAATAAAGTGCCGCAATTGAAAAAGAAAAGCAAAGTAAAAGAGTGTTGCCTCCTATTAACAAGTCAATACTTGATGATATTGATATCTTGGTTAGATCAAAACCAGAAGCTAAACTAATAACATTTTCAGGTAGTGATTATACTTTGGGTGAACTAATAGAAGATGTAATCACAGATGAAAATTTCGACTCTGATAAAACAACGTATTGGTCTAGTGAGTCACGCAGTTTATAGTAAAAACATAATATGGAGCAACCAAACACACACCTTTGCTGCCAAGTCATCTACTTTTTGCTGAAGGTTAGAGAGAATCTTGGCCTGTTCTGAGAGTTTTGTCTCCAGTTCTGAAACCTCTGGTCTGCATATAAGCTTTGATTATGTCACGTAATGTCACTACATCAGCTAAAATATGAAGCAAGAAGTTAAAGACTAAGGTTTTCACAGATACAATAGTGGTATAACTTAGAGCTGGGATTCAAACTGAAACCTCTGATAAGTCAAGGATGGTTTTAAAAACATAAGTTGAGAGAAAAGGATATAACCAATTAACGTCTGCAGAAAACTTTCATATGTTGGTTTGGAAAAGTGAGATTATATCTTGATTTTTTCTGAAGCAATCCATAACTCACAATTACTCATAACTACAAAATGTGATATAACTGGGAGATAACAGGAGGGGGGGGGGGAATTTTACAGTGGATATATAGACTGGATCTGCACATCAGCAGGGAACAGTTTGCATTCCTCAGAAAATATCAGAGTCTGTCTCTCTGCAATAGCATCTATGAGTTGAATATCTTTGGCAACTTGCTCATCAATACTGAAGAATAAAGAAAATTCATTGTTACTCTCTAACAAAGGAAGAAGCAAGAATCTTGACAACAATCAGGATTATGAAAGACTACAAAATTGCAATAAGACAAAGTATATGAACCAACCTCCATTCTGGATTATCTGAGAAGAGGCTTGCCTCCACTAAATCAACAATATTGCGAAGCATTTCCATTCTATCTTCATAGGTTCCATGTCCCTTTTAAACAATGATTCAAAAAGTTGAACTTTACGAAACAAAACAAAAGTTCAACAAGTTTAGATATAGAAAGATGCTTACTTGAATGGCTTCTATATCTACTGTTGGTGTGAACCCCAGAAACTTTGCAATCTCTGCCAAATCTGAAAACGAAAAAGTTCAATTAAACAATAATCACTCAAACAAACTCTTCCTAGGAGTACCAATAAGTCAATAGTTATTGGAAGCTCAAGCAACAAGATCAAAGGAAAGGCTTTACACTGGATACGAACAGTTTCCTCATCACGAACTCCAGCATCTCCTTGAAGATTTTGCTGTGAGAAAGGAGATTTATCACCTAATAACCTTCAACATAGCCAAAAAAAGAAGAATAAATTCAACCCCATAATAATCTCCATCAAAGAAACAAAAAGGAACAAATTTTCTGAGGCTAATCAAGAAACTTAAACAAGACTCAATTCTACACTGAACCCTCATCAAACACAGTGTCATCTTCTCCACTGTGAAAACCAAACTAACAAACGCAATTCGAAGTTCTGATCAGATACTCCAAAACCAAAATGTACGATGATGCGTAAAGTTGTGGAGAGGAAGAGGGGATTTTACTTGAAAAAGAGCCACTCGAGAAGAGCATAACGTTCCATCCCAGCGAATAGGAGAGACTGAGCAGGAGCATTTGCCCTAGCGTAACCAAGCTTCCCTAGCTTCTTCTGTATCTCTTCCATCTGCTTCGCCGCCATTTCACTCCCCCACCACTGATTCCCGCAACAACTGATTCGAATCTCGAGATCCGACACTAACCACGTGTCCTTGGTTCCTCTCCAAACAAAAAAAAAAACCTAATTTACCAAACTCCCATTATAAAGATGAAATCTTGGCCGTCAAATACAAAAACTTATTAGAGTAATAAAAAAAAAAAAGGTTTAAACTTTTTATATTAGGAGGAGACGCAAAGTCCAAGAACAGAGCTTTCAACGGATCTCTGGCGTTTAGTTTAGTTTTTAGTACAGAGCCAAAACAAAAAAAAGCTCCCTCTTTTATCTCCATCTCTCTGTTTCTGTGTTCGTCATTGCTGTTTGCTTAACCCCAATATGATCTCCTTGAACCTCTCACCTTCCCTTAACCCGGGTCTAACCCGTCCCCGCCAAAACCCTACCCGTCTCTCCTCTCTCCACTCCGCCGCCGATAAACCCTTCAACTTCAAATACCCACTAGGGCTCCCACAGATCCCCAGTCTCCAGATTCGCCAAAGTCCCTTCCTTTCAATCACCAAACGATCCAGATCCGTCGCCACCGCCGCCTCCGCCGCGAATCCAGACTCCGAGGAAGAAGCAGCAGCGGCGGCAGCCACTAAGAAGGCCAAGAATCTCCAGTTAGCGATAGTGTTCGGTCTCTGGTACTTCCAGAACATAGTCTTCAACATCTTCAACAAGAAGGCTCTCAACGTCTTCCCTTACCCTTGGCTCCTCGCTTCCTTCCAGCTCTTCGCTGGCTCCGTTTGGATGCTCATCTTATGGTCATTCAAACTCTACCCTTGCCCTAAAATCTCTAAACCCTTCATCGTTGCTCTCCTCGGACCTGCATTGTTCCACACTATTGGACACATCTCAGCTTGTGTCTCCTTCTCCAAAGTCGCGGTTTCTTTTACTCACGTGATTAAATCAGCTGAGCCTGTGTTCTCTGTGATTTTCTCGTCTTTCTTGGGAGACACGTATCCCTTAGCTGTTTGGTTGTCGATTTTACCTATTGTTATGGGTTGTTCTTTAGCTGCGGTTACTGAAGTGTCTTTCAACTTGGGTGGCTTATCTGGAGCTATGATTAGTAACGTTGGGTTTGTTTTGAGGAATATTTACTCTAAGAGGAGTTTGCAGAGCTTTAAAGAGATTGATGGGTTGAATCTTTACGGTTGTATTAGTATCCTCGCTTTGGTTTATCTGTTCCCTGTGGCGGTTTTCGTTGAAGGGGGACAATGGGTTCAGGGTTACCATAAGGCTATTGCTTCTGTTGGGAAACCCTCGACGTTTTACATTTGGGTTTTGCTTTCTGGTGTGTTTTACCATTTGTATAACCAGTCTTCTTACCAGGCGCTTGATGAGATTAGTCCTTTGACTTTCTCTGTTGGGAATACTATGAAGAGAGTGGTGGTGATTGTCTCCACTGTTTTGGTGTTTAGGAACCCTGTTAGGCCTCTCAATGCTCTTGGATCGGCTATCGCGATTTTCGGTACTTTCTTGTATTCTCAGGCCACGGCTAAGAAGAAGAAGATTGTTGCTGGAGATGATGATGATAAGAAGAACTAAGGGTTTTGAAGGCAACTTCAAGCGTTTGTTAAAAGGCTTTTGATTGTTCCTCGGTTTTGTTGTTTTCTTTGTTGTTTGCTTCATTTCTGTTAAGACTCTTTTAGTTGTTACTATGAGGTACTTGGCTCTGGTCTGATTCTATAAGAAGGGTTTTGAACTTTAAACTTAAGCAGAGATGAGATGAGTTAAACTTATTAAGCTTAAACCACTTTCTTCCTAACAGGCTAATACAATGCCTTGGGGTTCAATTCAAAAACTGTACACATAAGAAAGAAAAGAAAGAGAGTTCCCTTTGATCACCACCTTCTCCGGCTAGTCCTCCTGAAAGGTTTACAAGCCAAAATGCTAAGATCAACAGCAGCAGCAAGCGCCATGAAAATAGCTGCATCTTCCACACAAGTCACATGCCTCATAGCCAACTGAATAATCGGCTTACTGCTTTTCCCTTCCCCTTGCACTCTCGAGCTCATCACAAACCCGCCTCCAGATACACACTGTCCTAAATCCGAGTAGTCTCCACTACTCTGCGGGTCAGGCCTGACAACGTGCCAAGCACCAGGGTTGGACTTGGCCACCCAGTCACAGCCAGTGGATGGGACAAAAGGAGTTGTTATGAAAGCAGCAACAGCAGAGCCGGAGAGATCATGTATCTTCACTTTCCAGCCTTTTCTCTCACGTCTCTCGCTCCCAAGCTCGGTTCCATCCCCTGAACTTAACCAGTATCCGTTCAATGGATCCACCTGTGACACCCTGAAGAATCATAAGCAAGCTAATCAGTAAATAACTTTTTTAATGCTGGTTAGTTATGTTATTACAAACTATCAGTAAGTAACTAGTAGGATTATAATATGGCACCTGTCTCGGCTAAACTTGCAGCTGAAGATAGGTTGCTTAACCGAGCCACGAAGCTGAACTATCTGAGGACTCAAAGTAGTAACATCCGCGAACTGAAAAACATATCTAGGATCAGGATCAAGCTTCACTCTCAAATGAAGCTGTGCACCACTATCTCTCTTGTTCTTTCCAATACCTATCCAGCCACTGAATAGAATTACTGGTTTTGCCAAGGCTTTTCTTCGTATTGCTTATCTGGAAAAGCCAGCAATGAGGCCAACCCAATATCCAGTACCGAAGGCATCGTCTCGATGTAACACAAATTTGAACATAGAGGTTAGATGCAGATACCATGAGATGAAGAAAACGGCTTCATAGACATTCCAGATTTTTTCAAAAAGAGAGGAAATGGCGCCTAGACCAACGGCGATCCACCAAGTTCCAAGGGTACGCACAAGCCACGTAATGTTCGGATATAGTTGACGGAAGTTCTCTACAGCAGGGCCAACAAGATTGTCGTAGCACCTGAATGCTATAGGAAGCAGGTCCATCTAACAGCATTGTGCAGGGTTGGACAAAAAACCCGGATCTGAAGAACCCGAATCTGATCTGAAAAAGTAGTATTGAACCCGAACCGAAATTGAATCAATATCCGAATGGGTTCAACATTTTGGTATTTAAAGAACCGAGACCGAATCCGACCCGAACCGAAGTATATCGGGTATCCAAATATATCAGAAATAGATTTATATACCTATATATTAATTATTTTTAGATTTAATGTATATAAAAAACATTCAATATATATACAATACTTTGAAATTGTTCAAAATACTTGTAAAAATATGTAAATAGCCAGACATACATGTCTAAAATTGCTAAAGTACACTCAAAACATCAAAAATACTTTAAAAATTATTGATTCACAATCCAAATATTCAAATCAAACTACTTTATATGTTAATTTTAGGTTTTGACTTATGTTATTCAATTATTTTTATTATATTATTTTGTTTATATTTTTTAGAAATGTAAAGTATTTAATCAATTTTAAAATTTTTCGAATAATTTAAATGGATTATCCGAACCCACAAAGATCCAAACCGAACCCGAACCGGAATTTAGAAATATCCTAATGGGGCTAAAATTGTGAATCCGAAAACCCGAATAGATCCGAACCGAACCCGCATGGGTACCCGAACGCCCACCTCTAAGCATATGTAAGTGGATCAGTCGAACATGGACCCAAATATAAGAATAAAAAAATAAGGAAAAAATAAAGAAACAATAAGGAAAAATTAAAAACTTTTAAGAAATATATAGATAAATTATGATAATTTTTTTTTAAAAAATAGATATACTGCGAAATTATAACTTATAATTTTTAAAGAAACATCAAACTTAATTATTATAACTTAGTTTTTTGAGAAACATCAAACTTAGTTTATAATTTTTAAAGAAACATCAAACTTAGTTATTATAACTTAGTTTTTAACTTATAATTTTTAAAGAAACATCTAAAATTTGTTTGAGACGACCCTGATAAGAAGGGTCACGTATGGAAGGCACACAGCTAGCAAGTTGAAAAATGAGACTGGAGAGTGGCTGGAGTTGGCCACGAGTAGCATCACAGCAGAAAAGATTGTCACTACGAGAGATCAGAGGCAATGAAGAACTAGTGGGTTCAGTTGACCCCATTATTTTTTTTAATATATCATGCTCAACAAATAATTTTTTGATACATTTCACATTAATTTTCTATTTTTTATTATACTCTTTTCTGTTGCTTATACTATTTTACTAAACCAGAAATGATTATAATTCATTGATTCAATTCAATAAAAAATTTATGATTAATCTATGTTCATGATCTCTGAAGACCTTTAACAAATAATTATATATTTAGAAATAGAATAATTCTTAAAATCAATTAGAAAACTAATATATCAGTTTTTATGAATCTGTAAAGATAAATTTATCAACGGATGATAATTTTTCACACATGAATAAAGATCGTCAAAAATAGTGCAAAATCACATTTGTGATCAGTTTCTAAATTATTTTCTTAATCGTTTTATAGGAAAAACTATTTGAAATTGTAGTTAATGAAACCATGATAAATATTTTTTTTGCTAAATAATGAGATAAATAGTTTCAAACCGTAAAGAATCGTATAATATATTTATAGTTTTTTATGATTTATATATTATGTTTGGATCATAGAGTATATTCATAGTTTTATGATAGTTTATAAATTATGGTTTGAAAAAAAATTGACCCCAACACAAAAGGTTTCTGTCTCCGCCACTGCGAGAGATAGTATGTTTGTCATCATTTGGAGCGTTGCATTTACCACCGCTAGTTCAAAAGGGAAACAAATGAAGGATAGAAAAAGTTCCATCTTATCAAAGAGTAACTTAAGTTTTTGGTTCATCTTTGCGTTAAGAAAGGGAGAGAGATGAAGATATATTTTGTACAGAGACGCACTCTTTTTTGTTATAGAGTGAGCTAATGTAGAACACACTCTTGCCAAAGAAGAAGAAAGAGCACACTCTTGCCTATTTTAGCAGGAGAGAATCTTGGCATGTTCTAAGAGTTCTGAAACCTCTGGCCTGCATATTTATGTTACATAATGTCACTATATCAGCTAAAATATGACGTGAGAATCGAAGCAGTAAGGACTGAGGTTTGCACGTATAATAGTATGATAACTTAAAAACCTAGGACTCAAATTAAAACCTCTAAGACCAGATAGTCTAGAAGTATAAGTGAAGGATAGTTTTATAAACATTAATCCAAGAGAAAATAAATACAAACGTTCGGAAGCAAAATTTCATATGTTGGTTTGGAATAGTAAGTTTACTAGGTGTTTTATTCGTACTTGTGGGCCTAAATTTTTTTTTAATTTTTTATACATTTTTTTACTAATTGAGATTATAATGATAAAGTATTATTTGTGTTTATTTTTTTAACCAATAATATTTATATTGTCGTTCAAAGAATTTTACATATACTTTTTTTATAAATTATGTTCACTATTAAAAATAAATCTTAAAATCAAATAATATTTTTCAATTATATAAAATTAAGAAGTTTGGTTGATTAATATTTAGTGTTGTATTTTTTATTGCTTTATTCTTTTAACTTTTTATTAAAATATATTTTCAGATAACAACACAATATATATCGGAATTATCTTATTTAAGAACATATTATTTATATTTTGGATAATTTTTATGATTACTATTAATTTTAATTACTTATCTAATCAAAATAGTTTAAATTTGTTTTTCTGTTATATGTAATTTATATATTTATTCATTAAAGATATAAACGATATTAGCCACTCAAACTTTTAACATAGGAGCTCTGTTGCAAACAATCGATTCGCAAATAATAGTATAAATATCTTGTACTCCTCTGAAGCAAATCCATAATACCCAAGGCAAAATTAAAAAAAAAAAAAAAAAAACTTACCCTTAACAAGTAATAAAACTCTACTTTTGATATTTGAAACCAAAATGTTTAAAAAAGCACTAAAATCATTTTTTTTTTTTTGCAAAAGTACACAACCAAATAATAAAACAGCATTCCTTATCTTCTCTCTTCAATATATTTTCTGGTAACCATTTGTTGCCATTTCTATGTAAAAAAAAATTTGGGGGCGAATGTTTCGCTTTAACATGTCTCAGGGCCGGCGGCCCTTAACATGTCTCAGGGCCGGCCGTGCTAAGAAGAAGAAGGTTGATGCTGGTGATGGTGGTGATAAGAAGAACTAAGATGGCAACTCCAAGCTTTTAGTTAAAGCCTTTTGATTATTCCTTGGTTTTGTGTGTTTTGTTGATGTTTTTCATTTTCATTTCTGTTAAGACTCTTTTGGTTCTGGTCTGATTCTAAGATGAGTTAAAACTTATTAATCTTAAACCAGTTTCTTCTTCCTAATACAATGACTTGGGGAGTTGGGATTCAATTAAAAAACTGTACACATAAAGAAAAAGAAACAGAGAGTTCCCTTTGGTCACCATGAGTAATGGCGGAACCTTCTCCGGCTAGTCCTCCTGAAAGGTTTACAAGCCAGAATGCTAAGATCAACAGCAGCAGCAAGCGCCATGAAGATAGCTGCATCTTCCACACAAGTCACATGCCTCATAGCCAACTGCACAACTGGCTTACTGCTTTTCCCTTCCCCTTGCACTCTCGAGCTCATCACAAACCCGCCTCCAGACACACACTGTCCCAAACCCGAGTAGTCTCCGCTGCTCTGCGGGCTCGGGATCGGTGTAGCTGCAACCGTCAGCATCTGTTTATCCGTATCTATCAAAAACTCCCCTCCTTTCTCAGCGCTGATGAGTATCTCTGACATTAAAACATCTCCAACTTCTTGCCCGTTGGACAGGATATGGAACCTGCAGCATACAGAGTCTCTGATCCCGCGTTCCCGCCATGCTTCGAGCTTTCCCCAAGGCTGCCAGCTGTTTGGTCGGCACGGGTCGGGCCGGACCACGTGCCAAGCACCAGGGTTGGACTTGGCCACCCAATCACAGCCAGTGGATGGGACAAAAGGTGTTGTTATGAAAGCTGCAGCAACAGCAGAGCCGGAGAGATCATGTATCTTCACTTTCCAGCCTTTTCTCTCACGTCTCTCGCTCCCAAGCTCGGTTCCATCCCCTGAACTTGACCAGTATCCGTTCAACGGATCCACCTGTGACACCCTGAAGAATCAAAAGCAAGCTTAATCAATCAGTAACTAAGCCCGAAACCATAAGCCCGAAACCACAACATGTAATATTAGTTTCGTCTCAACGGTCATTTAATATAATATGTTACCTGTCTCGGCTAAACTTGCAGCTGAAGATAGGTTGCTTGACCGAGCCACGAAGCTGAACTATCTGAGGACTCAAAGTAGTTACATCCTCAAACTGAAAAACATACCTAGGATCAGGATCAAGCTTCACTCTCAGATGAAGTTGTGCACCACCATCTCTCTTGTTCTTTCCAATATTAATCCATCCATTAAACAGAATCACTGGCTTTCCTTCTCCCCATTCAGGACCTACCTCCAACTTAAACACCCCAATCTGCTGTCTTTTAGCACCAACTCCACAATGAGAAGAACTCTTCTTACCACAAAAAACAGAAACTTCCAAGTGAGCATTAGGGTTATAGAAGCATCCAGGGGTCAGGAGAGCTCTCAAATCAGACTCTTCGAGATAAAAGCTAGTGGAAACGCTGTGATGGTCAGGAGCTGCGTCTAAGGATGGCATCAACGGGATAGATGTTGTCTGAACAGGGAAGCCTCTGAGTTTTATCTCGCAAGAGCATTGGGAACAAGAGTTTGTCTTCTCATCAGAGGTTGAAGCAGAGGGTAAGAGATACTTGGGACTTCTTAAGGCAAGTGAGCTTACTGAGAGACGGATGAAAGCTTGGGGATCCATTTGAAAAGTCAGAGATGTTTCCCCATGGTGGTATGATTAATCAACCTGAGACAAAGCCAACACCATAGACAAAAGTGACTAAACCAAAGTTAGTTTTTCATACTAAACCAGATTTATCAGAAACTTTGAAAACTTTAGCTAACAGAATCAGATAGAGACAGGATTAAAAAGAGGTAAATTACTTGCACCAGAATCAAAGTTCTTTTTGTTCTTTTATCAGTTTGATTTGAGCTAAAAATCTACAAGAATTGACTAGTAACATTTCTAAACTCAAGCTACAGCTCTATGAGATTAAATTACTTGAGACAAAACAGCAAACACACAACGAACTTAGTTAAATTAACAAAACAAAACCAAAGCTGGTGTCCTGAGAGAAGAAGCCAAAAGAAATTGTAGGGCAAGTGAAAAGAGCTGAAATTGAATAAAAAGCTACAAACTTTATGGAATTTTTGATTCAAACCTGTATAAACCCGTAAGCATTATCTTCAAGAAACTTTGATAGATCCCAAGGAAAGCTAGGACCTTTCAAAATCCTTTTAAAAGGAAAATACTTCCTTTCTTTTTTAATTATCAATCTGTGAATAATGAAATGGTGGTAGAATGAAGAGAGACTTTAAAATTCGTAGGAAAAAAGGAGACTTTATATGATGATTACGATGAGATTTCGATTTTGGGTTTTTACAGAGCACAAATAAAGAGAGAAGCTTTTTTTTTTTTTCTCTTCTTTCTCTCTCGTTCTGTGTAAGTAAAAAAATATTCTGAGACCGGAGAAAAATGGTGATATTCGCTACGAAATTGACGGGGAGAATATAAACTCAATTTAAGTGTTTCTATTTTTGTTCCTTAATGCAATTTTACGTCACACGTACAACAATTATTTTGGCTTTTTCATATTGGTCCAAGCTTCATAATATATAGAGAAATGTGTTTTATGTCGACTGAGTTGTGCAATATAAATAATTTAGGCCTAATGAAGCTAATATACAAATTGTGGTAACACAATGTCATATAGATAATTTACCTTATAATTTAACATATATATAGAAGTTCTTCCATCAATATAATCATAAATATTTTCATCTTATTGATTAGAGATCACATGTTATTTTCTTTTTTGTAATTCAATATTTTTTTTTGGAACACAACAATATATATTTATATTAATGTATACTACATACAAGTTATGGTGAATAAAACTGTCCACTCAAATTCTATCACATCATTCCATTTTTTAATGTTATATATTTTTTCCTCTGTCAAAAATGTTTTGTATCTTGAAATATTTTTATACATTTTAGAAGATAATTTAGGGTTTTAACTAGTATATATGATAATCAATATATCAACCTAATATTTGTTGTGTAAGTTTTTTTGGGTTGCTAGTAAATAAAAGTATTTGTGATATAAGCTCAATATTTATACCTAGTTTTTAGCTTAATAAAGCCCCATCCTCTGAGCATATGGAGTTACGAGTAAGAATAGTAAAACTCTTAGATAAATTGGTTGTCCATTATTTTATCAGCATTAACATCACGCAGTCGAATTATTGAACTTAGAGGTAGGTTAATAGTGTTTGGTGGAAAACAAATACTACTAATAATAATGCAATGGAAGTCAATAACTAAATGATAAATACAATATAATAACAAAATACAATGTTATTTATTATTTTTAAAATATGGTATATACAAAAAAAAATAAAAAAATTAAGAATATAAATGAGAGAGGGATGGGTACGTGAATACAGCTGGAGCCATGTTTCTTCTCTTCTTTTTCATTCAATATTTACACACAAATACTAAGAAAATAACGAAAAGCAAATAAAAATCTAATCACTTTCAGACACATAAGCCTGACTTCATATCCCAACTGTCCACTTTATTTTATTAGATTGTTTAAGAATGCAACTTCTATTATTCCTCTCTATGGAATTACAGCTATTTGATGAAATAATGCAGTAGTAGCATAGAAGAGGTGGTCACCGAAATTTTTGTATATTATTTTGATGAGTGCTTAAGAAAATAATAGACTTAAGTACAACGAAATTAATAAATCTTGAAATATGTTATTGGTTAAGAAATCGTTAATTTTAAATAAAATCTTAAAAGTTTTAAATACTCTTCGTTACATAAGTGATATAAATGAAGATATGTATTAATTATATATCTAAATCACACATGCTTGTCGAAAAAAATAATCACATGCTTATTTATGTCTCGTACACTACCACCATAAATTGTTATCCTACTACAAATTACAAAACATGAACTAATGATTCACGAGGAAAAAATCGTATACTGAATATTAAAATGTATATATGAACTAAACATGAACTAACGTATATGACCATGACACGACGAAAAATTATATATTCACCATGTTTTAATGGTTTGGAAATGTTGGTAAGCTTGCATCCATTAAGATCGTGTGTTCATTTATTTATGGTTTGTGTTCATTTATTTGTGGTCTGTTGGGATTATATCAAGTTTTATAGTTTCAGGACATTTTAAAAACCAGTTTTCGCTGAACAGAAAAATTGAAATAAAAACCAAAGTAATTGATTAAAAAAAGAATGAGCCGCAAAGGAGGAAAGGGATAGAGATGGGTTTTCGAGGAGCTGACATCTTCGACATGTGCCTCTGCTCTTCCTGCCAATTACTGATCATCAGTCACACACTTCTTTTGCCATCTTTCTCTCTGAAAAATGTTAAATTAACAAAATCATGTCTAGATACTCTGGATTAATGCTGTCAAACATTTCTAGATTGTGTAGTTTCCAATCTTGATTCTCGTGTGCATGTGTGTTTCTGTTTCTAAATGCATGGATAATCGTAAACGAAAAGGTTTCAGATCGTCTTTATTTTTGCACCACTATTTTATTTTTATTTGATAACTTATTTTTAAAATTGGTTTACATATTGGTGGAAATATATAACTTTCGGTAAATTTTATAGTGGTGAAAAAGAAGATATATCCCAAGTCCCAACATATTAAAAAAGTTGATTTCGATAGAAGGATATCAACATTAAGCGTGCAAAATTGCAAAATTATCTTGGTTTCTTCTCTTTACCTATCAACCATTCATTTCGTGATTCTCCCTCTAATAGCATTTCATGCATTAAATCCTCTTCTTTTCTTTTTGCTTTATAGAGTTTTGTTTGCATCCACAGCTCGAGGACACTTGATTATGAAACTACACTTGTAAATTGTAATTAACACAATTTGTTCGTTTTGGTTCTCTTTGAGTGACCGCTCTTTAACGACTATGGAACTGACAAATATATTCGCTGATAGTTTGTTGTCTTTCCATTGATCTGGAATCCGGAAAGACTTCCAAAACTAGATCTTTCTTTTAAATGTTTTTGTTGGAATTTCTATATATCCTTTCTGTATTTCTCAAATATTCGTTCTTAACTTAGTTAATTCGTTCTAATAATTCTTTAAAAATCCGAAATTCTTAATGATCAAGAAGCTGTTAAGAAATACATAGATATCTAACAAGCATCCAAATAAGTTTAGATAAATGAACAAGGTCAAATTGTGGTTCAACCGTTCAACTAATCTTTTGTCATGTTCAACTTTTTATTCTATTTATATATAAAATGCTTGTTCTGTATAAATATATAATTAAAATAGGGATCCAACGCTAAGATATGTTATCATCACATGATAATTTCATTTATATTCAAACTGTAGGGGCCATATGAGTGAAAATTAATATGTACATCGATACCTCAGTCAACTAAACAACATATCTCTGGATTAACATAAACTAATTCAATTCAAAGTTTGTGTACCACCCTTTTCCTTTTGTTTTATCTCTAAAAGTCCTATGCATCTTATTATCATGACATATTATATAATCATCTCAAATATATCACAATGCATATAGGCAAACTATCGAGTTTAAAAAGAGTCTCGAGTCATTTGTAAAATTACAAAAAAAGAAGTGGCAGGTTGGAGAGATAATGTTCTCTTTTGCCCAACTTTTTTTTATACTCTTTTGGTTTAGGAATTTTTATCTTTCCACGTTATTATTTCCTAGGTTGGCAGCAAACTCAAAAGCATCGAGTAGTCTCTACCAATCCTAATCACATTTCATTTATGGGGTTTATATATACCTCAAACCTAACCGAGAAACAATTTACACACTAAACAAAAGTGGATAAGTATTAACGAACCCAATCTTAATCATACTTAACTCCAAAAGAAAAGGAGGATTAATACAGATTCTCCATGTACCAAACATTAAAAGCTATCGTTCGTTTTCAAACAAGTGGATCTTAGCATCCGACTACATGACAATGCAAAACCAAAAGAAAAACTTTCATAAAACCAAACCAAGAAAGATTAATTATGACTTACTAGCCACCATGGCTCACAATAACTATGTAACTTTTTTCAGAGACTTGTTATTTATTTTGTTACGTAATGATAATGTATAGTCCTCTGAATTGGATCATATCTTTTTTCAGGAAACAAATCACTTCCATTTCTTGAAGAATTTTCCCTTGTGCTTCCCAAATATGCCATGCTTCCAGCGTTTCCCGAATTTTCCGTGCTTGAACTTACCATGTTTGTAATACCCGTACCCATAGCCGTGACCGTGATGGTGGTGACCATAGTGTCCGTGGTGGTGAGAACCAACTGCTGCAGCTGCCATAGCTGCTCCACCCGCTATCATCGCTCCTATACCTCCATGGTGGTGTCCTGTGACAATAAGTTGGCTTTCCTCATCAAAATCATGTCTAAAGATCTATATGGTTCCAAATGTCATTATGTGCGTTTGCATTTATAATAAAAATGACTATAAAACATGGTTTACTTTTATGCTTTTAACATAGGAATTTTCTTCCAAGATGGTAAAGGTTGTATGATCATTTGACCAAAAAAACAACAACACTAAAACAAACGCAAACAAAGCAATTTGAAAACCTAAATGTGGTGACATATAAAGACCTATGGAAATGTTGTGACTGAAATTACCATAGTGATGAGATGGACCGGGATAACCGTGAGATGGATAACCGGGTGGAGGATAACCGGTTGTATGGTAACCACCGTGTGGAGGATAAGCAACTGGTGGTGGTGGTGGATATCCATACGGAGGAGGAGGAGGAGGGTATGCATAAGGAACTCCATAACCATGATGACCATGATTACTATAGCCATGATGACCGTGAGGTCGGTAGTGTCCATATCCTGCTAAGTGGTGGAATAATCCTTTGTCACTGTGATTACGTTTATCCTCCCCCATTTTTTTTCAAACTTCTATCTCAGAGTAATCAAAACACTGTAAAGAAAGAAAAAAAAAAACCTTGGCATTAGATTGTGAAAACAAATCGTTAGGCATGCATGTAACATGTTCATAAGTTAAAGAAAATGATTAGAGAATAGCAATAAACATGGACATAAGTTTAAGGATTCTCATATTCACAAGATTGAAAAAAAAATACTTAACACACAAACCTAAGAGTAAGAAAACAGAAACAAAATAAAGAGATGGAAGATGTGCGTACCAAGAACTAGAGAAAACGCATGAGATGCTGCTGATCAAGAACATGCCGTAGTTCCCACGCCACGCCTTTCCTTTTATTTATTTTCCACTAAATTCTTCCAAGATAATGTATATTAATTACACCATCCTCTAACTATATGCCTTTTTGTTGTTGTTTTGTCTGAACCAATTAAAAATATTGATAGGCTTACACATGAAGAAAGAAATAAAAATCAAAGAATATTAATGATAGGATCTGATTCTAGACTGTCTAGTCAAACTTCACATACATAATCCATCACATGTTGCTTATTCTATTGCCTCCAACAAAGATACCTTCTCTTAAACTAAAAATCTTTCAAGAATTTTGTACTTAAAGTTATCACAAAACTGAAATTTATGGGTTTTTCTGCAAATATCAAACTGCTCAAGAACATGTGAATTTTAAAGCTCCCAGCTTCCTCTTATTGGAGACTATCCTTTCTTCTGGTATAGTCTTCTGTAAATCCTTGCACCTTCGAGTTCAGCATGTATCTCTCGCTCAGTTCGTATACCCATAGGGTTTTCCCTTAACCAACCTTCCTCTGTGTCAACTGTGTCCACATGTTCAAGAGCCTTTGCTTCCTCGTCTAACTGATCTCTCATGTCTTGAGCTACGTCGAGCACATCTGACTGCACAAAGACCTGTTGCAATGTTTAGTTAATTAGTAGTCTAACCTATGAAATAAACCAGTAATGTTGGTAGCCACTGGCAGGTAAATGAAGCTTTTGAAAGTGCATACACTTCATAGAACTAAGCAAAGACTTTACCTTTCCACCGGGTTTTAGGTTTTGCAGAATGGAATCTACCAAAGGCTTTTGGACAACACGTCTCTTGTGATGCCGTTTCTTGAAATGTGGATCCGGACACTGCCTCCAAAACAAGAAGTTGGATCATCACATGATATGTACTATATTATAGGCTTTTAGATGTTGACAACTTTTCACACTTACCAAGATTGAGACAAACTCCAACGGTCCAGGATAGCTTGATATAAGCTGATCAAAGGAAACCATGGCATTTGCAAATATGAAGTGTCTGAAACACATCCACAAGAGATATATCTCAACGAAGTTAAAAATCAACAGAGTATTCAAAATGTTAAAGTTGGAATGCAGAGATTACACGTTAGAAAGTCCCAGCTCGTTCACCCAAAAGTTAGCACGCTTGACCAGCTGCAAAGAAAACCGAAAATACATTAAGCTAAAAGCAGATGAAACGGTCAAGTGAACTGGAAACTGTCAAAAGGAGCTCAAACAATACTTTCTGGCGTATCTCTAACCCCAAGTAGTTTCCTGACTCAGCATTCTTTTTGGCTAGCCACAGGAGGAATCTGCCACTACCTGTAATACAAGGCGGAGGGAAGAACATAAAATCAAATAGGAAAGCTTTGGTTTTAACAAATTAAACACCAAATGTCAAGCATGAAAGAGGCGTTACAACCAGAAACAACATAGAGGATAGAAATTTGAATCTCAAATGCCATGGAAACAGATGAAAGATTCCAACTTTGCTATCAAAAGTCTTCCTAAACTCAACTTAGAGAACATAATATACATAAGCATATATATCTAAAGACAGTCCCAAAAGTCTAAAGTAAGCTCACAAGTTACCACTTCCAATATCCACCATAAGTGGTAGCGATGGATCCTTATAAACTTCCTCCCAATCAGGAACTGGAGCTGGCGTCTATCAGATAAACAAACACTGTACATCAGTCACACTGTTTCACACAGCAAGACAGAAAGATCAAAAAGGCTGTCATAATAAACTTACAGAGAAAGAGGAACTGAGAGGGTTAACATGCTGTCTGATTCTTACATGACCCACTTCCTGCCCAAATAAAAAAAAAACAAAAAAAGAATAAAACTTTAAAGCAGAAGAGAAGACATAGAGAAACACAGATGATAAAAAGAAGGGTACCTCAGATATCTTATACTTGAGGTTTAGCTCTGCATACTCCAAGTCCACCACATCAGTGCTTCTCACTTCCTTTAAATCTTGACAAGTTGAAGTCGATGATGCTCTGAAGCTGCTAGTATAGTAGCGAGTGATTTTGTGTCTGCTCGTGATGATAAACGGAGATGAAGCCAATGAGAACACACTCTTCGCCACAGAAGAAGAGCACGCTTGATATAAAGAACCCATTTTTCTTGTCTCAGTTAGATTCGAAGATAACATAAAAATGTTTTCTTTGTCAGTGTTCTTCTTCTGCCTGCGTCTTAAACCCCCAATGAGAAAAAGAGAAAGCTGCTTTCTCAATCTACAAACCTTTCAAGAGTTTTGTACTTAAATTGATAAATATAGAAATTAACGGGCCGTTTCTGTAATTATATCAAAATGCTTAAGCCTTTGGACTTTGTAGGTTCTATATACGTGCTTGGACCGGACCGAACCGAACCGAACCGAACCAAAAATTTCAGTTCAACTAGGAGTTTGGTTCAGTCTGGTAGTTTTTTCATAAAAGTTCGATTTTCGGTTTGGTCTTCGGTTTCTATGAAAAGCAAAAAAATTATAACCACACCATACCAAAACCCAAACCGAGTTAACTAAACTTTAAACCGAACTAGCCAAAATAATCAAACTAACCGAATCTAATTGAACTTATCAGAACTTTTGTATCACCCTGCTCCAAAGTCTGGTTTTGTCATTTCCATGTCTAATCTTTGTGGTGATGCATCCAAAACTTGTCTTGCTTGTTCATGGTTCTCTAATGACTAAGAGGACATTCACAATCCAGGTTTGGAGTTATTGGTTTGAAAGTTACACTAGAGTGAAAGTTAATTTATATGGTTCATGAATTTAATCTTTGAACAAGCAATTTTAACATATAAATCTCCACCAAAGTAAAAAGCAAATAAAATCTGAAACCTCTCAGGAATACAACTTTGCCACTACATCAACTCTCTACACTAGACAAAACTTAACATCTTTCTCTCTACCTACAAGTGCTGTGTGTACAAACAAATTCTTATCTTTCAGGATTGTACTTGAGATGTTGCTCGTAGAACTCAATCAGCTGGCATCAAGAAAACACAAGAGCTTTTAGAATCTTCCTAATGAGTAAAATGCAGAATAAAAGTATTATCTTACCAGAAGAGGATTGTGAGCCTTGAGAAACCTGTTGTCTACCATCACTTCCATCCCATCAGACCTATCAGTAGTAGTAGCCAGAGAAGTTACAAAAGAGTTTGAAATTCAAATTGTGAAGATTGAGATGACAAACCTCAGAGCCAAAAAGGTCACCAACACATCTTGTACATTGTTTGTTACAGATAAAGAGAACTTCACAGGCTTAAGTATCTTCGTGATGTCTAACTCCTCCACCTTGCTTTTCTGAGAGAGATTGTTATTCTCCAACACACCAGGAGGATACTCATTCCCTATCCTCGCCACTCTACCAAAAGAGTCTAACGTACCCAACTCTTGTGTCTCATTCTGATCTGTATTAGCTGTTGTGTTGTTGTTGTTGTTACTTGTGGAAGCATCTTGTTTGAATCTTTTCACAGAACCAGACTTCCTCCTCTTAGCACCAATGAACTGACTGTTCTCACTACGATAAACCTTGAGAAGACCATTTGGTCTTACATTATCACCTTCACCTTGTGAACACCCCGCACCGTTACTGTTAATGACTGGTCCCCTCAGCTCGCTAAGCGTTGGATCATAATCTTTCTCCTCTCCAACCATACCAACACTCCTGCTGTTACCTTCAACTTGGTTGGCTGCATAAGCAGTTTCCCCAGAGAGATCAAGTGGACCACCACGAATATTAGGAAGGCTAGAGTTGTTGTTAAGAGATGTAAAAGAGTCTGATCTCTCAGAAGCATCATGTGATGTGTTAGATGTTAAACGTTGCTGCTTCTTCTTCAACTGAGAATTACTAGAACCTCCATGTTTACGTTTCCTTCCAGGCTTCCTTCCAGGTTTCACTGGCTTCAAACTTTTTGAAACACAAAGAAAGCAATTACATTAGATCCATGAAACGCAACTAATCAAAAGAAGATATGCATTATTACCTTCCTTCAAATGCATCTATAACATCAGCAATAGACTGGAGATTCTCTTTAGGCTCCCATGTGTTAGCAGTTTCTGGCCATCCACGCCTTATACACAACCATAAAAACTTATGTCAATGAAATTTAATCAAAGAAACTGAGTATATGATTTGAAGAAACTCACCATTTAATTAGATACTGAACCTTCCCCTATAAAAAAACAGAATCAATCAAATCAGATAAGAAGAAGATATCAAAACATTAAAAGCTGAGCATTGAATAATCAGATTCTGCTAAGTTAATTAGGATTCTTAACAATTCAATAAAAAGCAGACAACTTTCTTACAGACCAGACCAAATGTGTTGAAAGAAACGAAAAAAAGGAGCTTACTTTACGAACTCTCTTACGACGAATAGCTTCGATTTCGAAAAACCCTTCATCAAGTTTTGGCCTTTCCTCTTTCCCTTTTCCTTCTCTTCCATCTTCTTCATCCTCTTCGTCTTCTTCTTCGTCTTCTTCTTCTTCCTCTTCCTCATCCTCCGTACGCCTACTATCATCACCCATCTCACGAAGAATCGACTCTCCTCCACCTCCTCCGTGGTCACTTCCAAACCCACCGTCTCCTCCGACTGTTTCCACCGCTGTCTCCGGCTCACCGGCGTCGTTAAGCATCTGGGTTTTCTTCTTAACACTTGCTGGACCTTTCATTATCTGAGTATTCGAGCTAATCGCGTTCGTTATCGTCTTCTTCTGGGAGATCAACGAAGTTGTGGAGGAAGGAGTCGGAGGAGGGGAAAGATTGAAACTTTCCCAATTTTTTTTGAGGTTTTTATTTTATTTTATTTTTGGAGGAGGAAGAAGACCAGACCTGTGTGTGAGACCTGAAGGAAGACCAGCTTTCACCTTTTTATTTGTCCTTTTTTTTATTTTTGGTTTTATCTCAATGGGAATAACAGGAAATTAAAGAGTTAATTGTAACAACTTATACAGATTTAATAAATACTGTTCAGTTGAAATTTTGTTTTCATTAATGACATGATGATGATGTTAATCTAGACAGTATGTGAAAGGGAAAAAAAACTTAGTTAGAAAATTAAAACAAAAATATACAAGGGAATTAAATTATTTTCTCACAAATAATAATGAACTAGGATAAGACCTGCGCCTTGCGCAGGGTGAATATATCTAATTAAAATATAAAATTTTAGTATTGACAAATTTAAAATTTACATATGATTTTTTTTGTATGTATTTGAAATTTCAGAATTTTGAAATTTTTATATAATTATCTATACGTAGGATCATAAACAATTTTAGTTAGAAATGTAGATCAAATCTTAGAATTTAATGGATCTGATTTCATATATCTTTTTCACTTTTCAGTGTTCGAGTGATGGAAAATAAATGGAGTGTCACTGGGATTGATTGGTAGAGTATTAGCAAGTTCCCAAATGTTTTTTAAGAAGCAATTGGTAAAATATTTGCATTTAAAATATATAAAGTTTCAAAACTAATTTAATATAATTTATTTATCTGTCTAATAATATTAGAAAATTATATTTTTTACAAATTATTATTTTTAAAAATAATTTATAAAAAAATTATATTAAATTTTAAATTATTTTCAAAAACAATATTTTAAGTTTTTCAAATACAAATAAACAATTTAAAACTAATTATGGTCATGATTTAACATAACCATAATGATTTAAAAAATTAAAAAAATTAAAAGTTAACAAATTAAAAATTAACTCAGTTTTATATCATGATTTAACAATTTAAAAATTAATTATGGGTATGAGAAGTTTACGTTCACGTGTCAGTCCTATTTATCTTCCATTTTTCTCTTCCTATGTTTTTTTTATATTTTGTTTATTACTGGATATAAATATTTATTTTTAATTTTATTCTCATTTCGTTTGTTTTAGAAAATACTTAAGATTTAAAATAATTAAAGAGATACATACTTAGGTTAAGATCTGCACTTTATGCATAATAAGTATTTTATATTTATTATTTATTTATATCTTTCTGCATATTATAAATAATAAAATAAAAAATATATATTAAATAACTAAGAAGTCAGTTACTATTATGTAATAAATTGGCGTATGCATATAAATTTAACTATTACTCTTGTTTATTCACAATTAGGGTAAATAAATCAAAATAATCAATTTTATATATTGTATATGATATATAATTAAATTTAAATGATATAAACATAGTAATATTACACACTTTTAATATGGATATTTATTAAATGAGGTTTCTACTCATATGATTTTATGATTATTTGCATATTTGTGTAACAAAACTTTACACCAACGAATTTTTTTTTAATTTTGAGATGTTTATTAGTTTCAATAATTTATAATCATTTTAGAAAAACAATGACATATTTCAAAATTAAAATATTAACTTTTAAATATATGTTCAAGGCAAATATCAAAATATAAATATGTATTTTCATACGATGTATAGTTTAATTAAAATGATATTAACTATATATAACCTAAAATTATTTCTTCATATGGTCTTATAATCATTATATTTTAATATAGAAAAAAATAAAACCTTGATCTTAAAAGTTTATGTGGAACTTTTAACAGTTTTAGTAATTTATACTCGTTTTGAAAAAATTGAAATACAACATACACAAAAAAAAATCTAGATTTTTATTATATGATAAATGTAATTGTGTAATTTATTTTAATAATAAAGAAATAAACAAAATGAAAAAAAAATATACAGATTGTTATCAAATCTTTATTTTTAAAAATCATTAATTGTCAAATATATATTTTGATCACATTAGGTAATTCCGTAGGTTTTATTTAAGGAAAGCATGCAAAACAATAAATATTTGATATATGCGACCAACTATAGCATACGGAATAATATATTGCTAGAGAATTTAATTTTTAAACTATACATTATATCACATGCTCTAGAATCCTTAGGATTTGAAATAGAAGCCAAATAGCTATGCCACGTAGGATTGGAGTTATTTTTAATTCTTACAAACTTAAGGTTACAACTTTTTAAATGATTCTCAAATAATATATAGGGGATTTTTTCTATAGCAAAACAGAAACTAAGGCCATCAAAAAGAAATACATTTAGATAGTCAATAAACAAAATTAGTAAATAATGAAAGTTACAGAAATCTATATATAATAGCAAACTTTCTATAACATTATTTATAAGAAAATAAAAATTGAATCCAATGGTTATAATTTACTTGATTTTAAGATCTAATGGACACAAAACACTCATTGCAGTGAGTATTGATGTCAATATTTTCTTGACAACTCCTCTTTAAAAAGATACTAGATTTTGACCCGCGCTTGAAAAGCGCGGAAATTTTTTATGATTAAAAATTTATATAATTAGGTTTTATCTTAATTTCAAGAATGTTTTGGTATAAAATGAGTTTACCAGAATTTGTGCTGATAGTTGTTTTTCATTAGGTTTTAGTTTCAGTTTTTATTTATAGATTTTGTTTTAAATTTTGGTTTTTGGTTTTTAGTTTTTAAGTCTATTTTTGTTTTTCAGCTTTTGGTTTGGTTTATTAATTTTTAGACCCGCTGAGTTAGTTTGAACTGATATTACCAACAAACAAATCTCAATTAATCGAACATGTAATTTAAAACTGAAAAGATGACAAAATAATTTTCTAAAAATTTTAAAATTGTTTATTTTGTAAATTAAAAAAGCAAAAATATAACCTGCGTTTTCAGCTTTTGGTTTTGGATTTTAGTTTTTAGATTTGGTGTTTGGTTTTGCTTTACATTTTTTTTAAATCTGTAAATTATTTAAGAAAAATAAAACAATAAATTATTTAAAAGTTACCATTAAAATTTATCAAGATAGAGTGATTGTTATTTAAAATAAAAAATATTAACATGTTTTAAAGTACATGATTTAAATAAGTGACTAATAATAGATAATTTTGTTTTGTTGAAAAGATTAAATATTTTTGGGCTAAAAAATATTAACATGTTTTAAAGTACATGATTTAAATAAGTGATTAATAATAGATAATTTTGTTTGTTGAAAATATTAAATATTTTCGGGCCTGAAAATAGTAACTGATTTTTGATCCATTAAGGTGGAAAGTTTATTTAATGTATTTTGGAGTTTTTATTTAATACTAAGCTCAAAAACCAAACAATTAAATGTCATAAAAACAAAAGTAAGCCCAAAACTCTATTCCATAAATAACCGCCGGTTTAATTTAAGTAATGCGGTTCAATTAACTATATAACTTGTATTATTTGTAACACTCTAGAAAAAGTCCAAATTTAAATGACAATTTGTATCAGTAGATAAAAAGAATAACTCTATTTTAATAGAATAGATGTATTTCAAAGTACAATTCTTTTTAAAAACCATAATGATACATTTTCATCATTAAACAATTATTTTTTATCTTAAACAATTATTTCTTTTAAAACAACATATATCTTTTAATTAAAGAGGTACAATCAGATGTTTCTAATTGTTATATTTTTTCATCTAATGGTTCAAAACATGTGTATGACATAAAATAATTTTGCTCTTAGCCGTTATTTTTTGAAACAATATATCTTTTTAAATCAAAAAGTCCTACTTTTTCATATTTAAAGAGTTACAATCTGATGGTTTTAATTGTTTTGTTTTTCATTTAACAGTCCTAAAAAATGTTTTTTAAACATAAAATAGTTTTGTCGTGACCAATTATTTTTTGAAATACTCTTTAATAGAAAGAATAATACTTTTTCATAATACATATATTTAATTTTTCTTTTGAAGAGTTTCAATCTGGTGGTCTTAATTGTTATCTTTTTCATATAATGGTACTAAATTTTTTTTTTGCTAAACATCTTTCTTCGCAACTCTTCTTTGAAAAGATTATTTCTCAAACAAAACATACCTCTTGACTATTCATCAATATACATTTTAAATAACAAGTTATTTGTTTAGAACAAGTAGTAAAAGTCAATCATTTGGTAGCAATGGATGGCATCAAGGGATGCTATCAAAGGGTGCCATCTTAAGAGTGTGCTGGTGTAATCATATCGTGATCCAAGGGATGCGAGTGCATCGTGATCCAAGAAATGCGAATGCATCGTAATCCAAGAGGTACGAACGTGTCGTGACCCAAGAGGTAAAAATATGTAGTGATCCAAGAGGTATGAATGTGTTGTGTCCTAAGAGGTGCAAACGTGTCGGAACTGAAAAGGTGCGAACATGTCGGGACCGAAATGGTGCAAACATGTCGGGACCGAAAGAGTGCAAACGTGTCGGGACCGAAAGAGTGTAAATGTGTCGGAACCGAAAGGGTGCAAACATGTCGGGACCGAAAAGGTGCAAACGGTTCGGAACCGAAAATGTGCAAACGGTTCGGAACCGAAAGGGTGCGAACATGTCGGGGCCGAAAGGGTGCGAACGTATCGGGACCAAAAGGGTGCGAATGTGTCGGGACCAAAAGGTTGCAAAGGTGTTGGGACCGAAAGGCTGTCGGGACCAAAAGAGTGCGAACGTGTCGGGACCAAAAGGGTGCGAACGTGTCAGGATCGAAAGGGTGCAAACGTATCGAGACCGAAAGGTTGCGAACATGTCGGGACCGAAAGGGTGCAAATGTGTCGGGACCGAAAAGGTGCGAACATGTCGGGACTGAAAAGGTGGGAATGTGTTAGGACCGAATGGGTGCGAACGGTTCGGGACCGAAAGGGTGCGAACAATTCAGGAACGAAAAGGTACGAATGTATCATCACCGAAAAATGTGTGAATGTAACATCAGCAAATGGGTGTGAATGTAATGTCACCAAAAGAGTGCAAACATAATGTTACCGAAAAGGTGCAAATGTAACGTCACCA